AAAATCAACGTCCAATGGCGTGACAGTAGCTAATTCACTATTGGACGAAAAGATTAAACGTCCATACTAATGCCATCTAGTGAGCATAAACATAAAAGAAAGATATTAACAAATATGTAAATTATAATCAATTTCAACAGAATATATTTTTCAGGGCACTTCTCAAACTAGATTCTTATATACACCAAATACTGGTAGTATGTCTGCAACTTGATTAAACTTAATTAAGTTTGTTTTGAGGGTAGAAAAGAAAGCATCAAATGACACTTACTGAATGAACTCCCCACCAAAAACCCCCACTCCGTTCCTTCTCCTTCTACAGGCCACTATACCCTATTGCGGTTGCCCCGCAATCCTGGCTGAACATCAGTTGAGACCAACTATGGTGGCCTGTTGCCTAATATTTTAAAGCTAAAAATGAGTTTGAATGTTCCAATCCTGGAACCACTTGTTCGAATTTAACAATGGTTTGTGCTTTAAATAGTTCATTTATCTGTATATATATGAAGTCGGGTAAAGACAGTTGCTTTATACCCATTAGTCGGAGGTCTTTATTATCTTTAATGAAGCAACTTAATTGTACTTCTGGAATCTTCCTACCGCATGCCATGTACCGACGATATTGCATATTTCCCCGTTACATTGCCTAATATCTACGTGCGTTGATATCTGCGTTAGATAATACTATTTACTAGGCTCCAGTTTAATTAGCTATTGTTACAACAACCTACCAATTAAAACGGTACAAGAATCTGTTGTTTTATTAACATATGTTGATACTTTTGATTCAAGAAGAATATAGTCTAGATTATTGTAAATAGCATAGCTACTAGGGAAACCGTTAAAATGTTTAAAAAAACATTACTAAAAAGATCTCGTTTGAACCAATTTTGTTTTACAATGGTGTACATCATATTTATTTTACACGCCCCAGCTCGGCGCATGTGGAATTCTGTTGCGTCCTAAATATCTTCAGTATTTAATAGATGTTATAATACATATGTAATACAATAACTTCATCTTCAAACACTCTATCCATTAAAAAACCGCGTCAAATCTGATTTGAGCGTACATAGGGATATATAGGGACAGAGAAAGCGACTCGTTTTGTACTATCTAATGAAGTCAAAGGGACGTAAACAATTATTCACTCCGGAATTTTGCGGTACACGTATAGGTACAGTGACAAAAAAATAGTGTCAGTTCTTAGTATGGAGAACTACCGAAAATATTTTTTGTGCTATCTATTTTTCGTGAAAATCTTAATGCGGTTCACAGAAGTTTCAACGTTATAGTTTCGGAAAAAAGTCGGTGACAAAATGGATTCACGGACAAATTGTTAATCAAATGAATGCATAATTCATAGTGACAGTCATCACGTCGTTTTAAGCATTATCTCAAGATCATAATTTGAGTTTTCTTTACAATTAATTCTATTGCGTTTATGCCATCGATCTAAGGCGCTAGTGGTTCAATGAGGCACCGCGACCTTGGCCCAGAGCAGGAGGGTTTTTAGTCAGTAAGAGTCTGACACTCGCTCCCGCCCGGCCCTGGGCGGGAGAAGTTATTTGATGATTTTTCCCTCAAAAAAAAAAAGACGCTTGTGGTTCAAAGTTACCTTTTTAATAACCCTGTAAATTTGCACTATTTTATAATGTATCATCACTCATTTTAACACATAAAAAGTGAAGAAGGAATAGAAGATCAACTTTACGGAATTCAAATACAAATGTTAGGGTCAAGGATCAAAAAATGACCCACAGTTGTAAAGGAGGACCGTAACTAGAGGTAGAAACTTGTACTATGGCTACTAAGATGCTGGCACCCCCCTGGTCTTTGGTTCTTTATGATATGTGGACTGTATTTATGTGTTAAACTTGAAAACGAGACATGTGTTTATACCGTGAAACAGGTCATCCTCAAGCATACACTGCTATTGTGGGGTTCAGAGATCGGTGTAATAAAAGACTTCATCTTATTAGGCCTCATCTGTAGTGGTATCATAGCTCTGAGCACCACACTAGGATTCTTTTTCGTAGTTATGATAAGAAACTAAATGATATCCTAGAGTTTCAACAAACATATTTTCGCCTTGTATAAACTTTACATCCAAACTAATATTATAAATGCGAAAGTAACTCTGTCTGTCTGTCTGTCTTTTCTTCACGCCTAAACCACTTAACCTATTTTTGGGAAATTTGGTACACACATTGTTTGGAACTCGACAAAGGACATATGATAGTTCTTAAACCAAAAATCTGCAAGAAGTCACTATTCCACGCGAACAAAGTCGCGGGCAAAAGCTAGTAATGTATTAAGTACCTTAATAGAGAATATCGATCTACGCAAAAACTGAAAGATGTTAAACATCGATGTCACTAAAAGCTAACAAAATAAACATTGAATCAGCCGATTAATCACAATCTGTGATAGTCAAAAAACTCAATCAATAACCTATCCATCTTGAATGAACGACGTGTTTCGTCCATCGATCAGACCGAAAGAGTAGAACCAACTTGTCAGATTGGAGCGTGATCACTCAATGCCCCCATTACATGCGACTATCAGTCAATCTGGAGTGCGATCACATTAACACACGTCACGATATTTATCTGGTTGGCAGACCTAATAAGCAGTGTTTTAACGTACGCAGTCAGGTTCAAATCATATCAAGGTCACCTTTGTAGAAACCTGACGGTTGTACGTTGGGATTTACATGTACGATTTGTGACTTCATCTATCAATTGTTTTTGTTCTGCTGCAGAGCAGAATGAGCGAATGAGGTAAGAGCGTGTTAGTGTGTCGATGCAAACCAATCTTCAAAATTACTAGTCTACCTACTTCGCCATTACTCACATGTAAATTCTTCAAGTAGCGTATCTTACAAATGTCAATAAAGCACTGTGTTATGTACAGTACTCGTTCATTTCCAGCTCTTTGATGAACAGAATTTTTGGAAAATAAGGTATAACGAACGATACTCTTAACTCAATATTGGAATTAATAGCTAGAAGAGTCAATTACATATAATTAATGAGACAAAAAAAATTGGTATGTCCAATGAGTGCTATAAAGGAATGTGGTTTCTATGACCCCCTGTCGTAAAAAATATTTTCCTGTGTTCCGCATTAAAGTTTTCTTAGCACACATATACAATGGACACAGTTCCACACAACTCAGTGCTCAGATGAAGATAGATCGCGACGAGACGCGTGGTCACCCTGTCCGCGCGCAGTTAGTCGTACTTCCTACAGTGATCGATGTCTTCACTGTTATGCTGCCTTGGTACTTTGATTTGTACTACGTAGTATAAACAAATTATTAATATTCTCTTCTTTGACGTGTAATGTTCTATTGATTTTCTAAGAAGTAATGCTGAATAGATCTCTTAATTTCCTAAAATGACACTTCTGTAGTGATGCTTGCCTAGTACATTTATTCTAATTTCTCTTATTTCTCGTAATGACTAAAAATCACCCCATTTCTGCTCCAGGGCAACTTATTGAGACTAAGTGGCAAATTCCTGTATTAATTATCTATAAGTACCTACCGATATTAATGTAAATTGTTCAATATAATAAATACCGATACTAATATTTTTTTTTATTACCTGTAAGAATAATATAGATTAATTTTTATTTTCTTATTTATATTGTTTATGTTTATCTAAAGTAATTTTCCGGCCATAAATAAAAAAAAAAAGTTTATTTCAATTACAGTAGGCATTTGACATATAATTGTTGGAGACCTCCTTTTAAGCAAACATTTGCTTGTGTTAGGAGACTCCGCTCTTCCACTTGTCTGACGTACCTAATTGAAATTATAGGCTTAGATGTAGACAATGTAAATATGAAAGCTAGTTATAAAATATAATGTAATAAAAACAAATAGGTACTAAGGTCATAAAATCTTAAATTCAAGCGACCGATTGTAAGAATTATATAATTATTCGGAAGCTTCACAGCTAGTGAAGAATCTGGCTGCCGACATTGAGGCACGCGCAGTACAGTCCACCACAGACGAGGTAAAACAGCCAGTAAAGTAATAAAAATGTTCATTTCTGTCGAAAACTATGTTTATTTTTAAAAAAATGAACTCCCCTTCGCACCCTCTCCACCCAGGACGAGAAAAGCCATAAATGATTTTCAACCCACAAAAAAATGTATGTAGATTAAATGTACTAGGGAAGCATCACTACAGAAGAAGTCTCATTTTAGGAAACTAAGAGATCTATTCAGAATTACTAAGAAAATCAATAGAATACATCAAAAGCGAAAATTAATGATTTGTATTCTGAAAAAAAAAAATGGTGTTAACATTCTATATTAAATTATCATTTACACATATTTGTAACGTAATCTAGTCACCAATATAATTATTCGGAGCACGGTCCCTTTGAGGCGTGATTTAATTTTACAGTTCGGGTGTAACCGAACTGAATTATAATCATTGGACTGCTATAGCATACTAACATGTGAAATATGTTTTATTTGCAAAGAGAATATACTATGAAGGTGTGTACTGTGTTACTGAAATATTTTCGTACCTTTTTTTTTGTAAATTATATTATTTATTTAGGTGTAACACGTTTTGCTTTGGCTGCCTTCGTTTTTTTTTAGGTAATGCTTTTCGAACTTTGTGAATAAAATGTTTGATCGGTCCCCCAGCGCCAAGTTTTTTTTAGTTATTACTGTTTAAAGAAATAATAGATTATTTGTCGGGGGTTTTTTAAATTTTAAATTTTTGTGGGACAGATTGGCAAATGAGCAGACGGATCCCCTGATTGGAATGACCTCCCCATGGACACATTTTTTTTATGGTAAATAGAAATCTCATGAAATAACATCTCCTTGGATGGAACAAGAGGAAGCATCTGACTGTTTCGGCCCCCGAGGGTGTGGAATTTTGGATCAAAACAGGAGCGCGTACGGCTTGTAGGGGCCCACGCGCGCATAGAGAACCACCACAGATGGTGCCCAATAGGGAGTTCAGCCACAATAATGTCCCTCGGCCTGGAGCAGGAGATGGAACGAGAGTCTAACACTGATCGCAAGGCCCAGGGTAGAAGACGTCGTACTCAGCTACTAAGGTATACCTACTTTTATGTATTACGAGGCAATCAATTTGTAGAAAAACATTGTTAATAAAACTTATACCAACTAATTCAAATAATTACTTTTCTTTAAATTCTTAGTAACGTTTTCAAATATGGAATCCTACAAAATAAGGTAAAACGTAACAGACTCGAACTATGAAGAATGATTTCCGCGAAGTCATTCCCTACCAAACGACTACCATGCTTAAATAAATATTTATGTATGGCAAAGTGGGCACATGCCAAAGCAAAGTTCCTTAGAACTAGACTCAAAACGAGAGTAAATGAAGACACTTGCAAATTACACCTAGAATATTATTAATTTATTTAAGAAAATAGTAAAGTAGGTACTGAATAAACTTCACATTAACAAAAAAAAATTACTTGATTCATGATATAAAATCGATTGAGGGCTGATTTTTCAATATAAGTTACTTAGGGAGTAATTATGATGCTGTCGCATCAGAATGTTTGTATAAGACAGTGACAGCAACAATTTTATTCCTCAGATAACATTTATCTGACTATTGAAAAATCGGCCCTAAATGCAGCACTGTAAGTGGTAAATATTTCACAATAATTATATTCTATATTCAAATCTCGACTATGTATGTGGCTATCCAGAAATTGTGCACATTATCCATCTTACTAACTTATAAAAAAAAACGTTCGAAATTCGAATGCGCAAAAAAATCAGAAAATATTCCAATAAAATTCCGCCGCTACAAATATAAAAATGGCCGCCAAATATGACGTGCGAAAAACTATCCGCAACTCACATATGGTGACAAAAGGCAACATCTCATATCGGATGAGCAAATATATTCAAGGGGCCCATTTTAGAGGCAGTCCCACGCATATGTCATAGACAGTGGGCCCCAGGAGACAAGGTAGACGGGCAAAAACTGAATGTTGCAGATATGTTCGCATTATTGATGCACGTTTACATTGTACAAGACGATACGATATTATTATGCTAAACACATGGTCTACACGAAATAATCAATTTAATACATCAAAGCACTAACTAGTTCTTTTGAAAAGACTACATATCTGAGATATCCCGCACAGCAGTGCTCTCACATTATAAACTGTGAACTCCAACCTGCTTGCAGACCGAAGAGAATTAATTTCGAATTTGGAATAAGGGCTGAGTTTTCAATGTTTCGATAAAAGTTATCTGCGAAATAATGATAATGCTGTCGCGTCACCATATTTGTATAAGACAGTGACAGCAACAATTTCTTTCCTCAGATAACATTCATCTAAGTGTTGAAAAATCAGCCCTCAAATTAATATAGGACAAAATGTATGTATGTATTCAATATATATCTATTCAAAATATTCATAATAACGAACTTTAATCCACGGAGGTTTATTAGAAACTTTTATGAAGGTAATAAAGCATGCACAAAATAAAAAGAAATCTTATTTTTATCCTAAAAACATCGATATTAATGCGTTATATTTTATTTTTTACGAGAAAACATACAATACCTACGTCATACGTGTTAGGGGAAAGGTGTTAACAACATGTGTTACTCGCATCGGTGCGAAGATTGGTTTGGGTATATTATGACGGTCAGAACTTAATAAAGCAAGCCATTTCATATGTTACTCGAAGTTTGTTGGGTTCAACGTGTATTGGGCTGAAAGTTGAGTGTGAAAGTACAACTTTTATTCCGTTTTATCAGTTAATTTTAATATGTTTGCAACATGTATACCAATACTTTTACTACATAATAGTATTTAGATACAATCGCCATTTATTCGTGTGTAAATAAATAATACGAATACTGGAAAAAGGTTTACCAAATCTCTTATATAAATATCTATTAATTGCTCTCGCGGAATCTAAATTTAGTTTTGAAATATTTATGCAAGGGACATTAAAAAGCTCAGAAATAAAAGAATAATTTGTACTAATAAATATACATTTTCTTTCCTATACAAACTGTTGTATAAATAAGTGGCATAATACAAAATTACAGTTTTTGTTCATTAATAAAATAGAAACAAAATTGACATTTTTATAAATTTTGAAGCGGTAAAACTAGTATTTATTACATCTGTTTATCTATAAATTTTTGTTTGCTATTATTATAGATTTAGGTACACCGAACATCGATTGAAGTCGCATTTTACTACAGGTAACATCCATTTGTAAACATATCAGTCTATCTACCCAAATGATACATGTAAAATAAAAACTAATTAATATCGTATCGTATAACAATGGACATAAGACACAAAGTACCTAATACATAATGGATAACAGGCCCAGCTAGTTTCAATAAAAGGATTTTTTGTATGCGACTCCTCTCACGAAGATATTGTTACATTTCTACGCTAAATTTATTCCTTTTTTACACGAATCATATTTTAAATGACATATTCATGTTCTGAATTGAATATTGTCCTCGCACAGACGGACTTACGGACCCTCCTTTGAATTGGAAGATCGCAGATAACTATCCGTTTTCCATTACATAGAAATAATATTGTTTAAGAAGAAATTCTTGTGTTTATTTCATTTGATTTTTCTTTTGTGGTTTGTGTATATGTATAATATAAGCTTCTGTTTTTTATTGACTCGTTTATAACGGTGTAAAAAATAATTTTCGGATTTTGCTATTCTATAAATGTAGTTTGTCTATGTCAGTGTAGTTCATTACTACACATGCACATGCACAAATAGTATGCATTCTCTCTTATTTCTAGCCAGTACTAGCAATTTCCTGAAAGCCATCACCCCTCTCCAACCACTCACAAAAATAATTGCCTAAAATTTCTTCAATAAAATAACAATACTCAATACAAAATAACAATACTCCAATGAACTAAACATCTATTGCTAACAAAGAAATCTTTGAAAATCAGAAACTACATCGCGGTACGTAACTGGAGTATGAGTTCAGTAGAACAAGGCGACCGAGCCGTCGTCGAGACAGCCTGATCTGAAATGCAAACCGCGACCCAAAGAATCTCATTAGCAGACGAGACCACGCTACCTTGCCGCGGTACTATTCTGATGTGCGGTACAATCAAATGTACGGTTTTAATATTAACCTCTCGTTTTCCGATATATGAGACCAATAGTAAACACATTATGTCTCGCGTATATCTGCGTTCATATCAGCGTTAATTTATCTTTAGGAATGATCGTCTTACTGTAGAAGAAAGGCCCGTCTTCTAATCACCCACTGTGTAAAAGTCTCTGCGACCAAACCTTATTACAGGCGTCTATATGGAGATTTAGACCAATCAGTAAGGCGATATTTTCTAGGTGACTTTAAGACGCCTATTTAAAAATAACACCGGTCAGAAACCGGCCAGCAGTTCTTAGTAACAAAACTAAACTTTTTAAGCTGTGATCTCCAACATACTTTGCCAAGCATTCAAATAGCTTATGCCATGTAGCGAAGGTCCAGTAGTGGATAAAATTAAGATGAGATGGTTAATGTTGGTTCAATAAGGTTGAAACTAGTCAATACGAAGCAATAAATCCAAATGAAAATAAATTAAACTGTTATTCTCTAAAAAAGGCACGCGTAACAGGTTTATTTCATCATATTTCACAGCATTTTTATTACATAGGTACCCTTGGATTGACTTCCCACCCTACGAAATCCCACAAAAGATTTTCTACAACTTTTGATCCAATTTCACGCATCGAACATTGAATAACACCATCCAGAATACACCCTCTCAGTCCGCGGCAGTGAAGACATTGCGTCTTTGCATTCGTACCAGCCCGCTCATTGGAAAATCACTCCCCTCTCCTTGAATACTGAACAACTGCCGTGATATCTGCGAATCTCAGTATTAAATCCCAAATAACACAACTAACGTACATACTGTTCAGTGTTCATATCGGCTTGGATTGTGTGCATGCCATGCGAATATTGGACGTGAAAACTGCTATTTATTGAACGGATTATTATATTCACAATTTACAGTTATTGGTATTTCTTTGAATCGCTTTTAGAAGCTCTGTGAATTGGTATTCGAGATTAAATGGTTTTGTTTGGAAGATGAATACCTACCGTAAATGTCGATGAATGTGTTGATTGCCAAATCAATTTTATTTGATGTGGGTTAATTTTGGATGCTATTTTTCGATAGTTAGTAAATTTATTAAAAATAACGGCTTATTCACACGATTAAACTGAGAAAAGCTCAACTAGTTTCAAGTTACAACGGGGCTCTTATTCATTAGCAGCGTGCGCGTTGCGGCTACGTCGACATTGTAGTTTTCAATACTTACATTTGGTATGATAGCTATTTTACAAAACGATTAAAACAATCATGGAATATCTGTTTTTTATAAAAAACTATACATTCTTGACCAGTAACACATTCGTATTTGATTTATACAACGGCATTCTTAACAAGTATTTCAATTTACGAGAAAATGTCTGACAACGGTAAACCTGTGCACGATTTTTATTCTCCCCTAACACATTCATACATCACATTTGTAGCACAAAAAATGTTTTCTAAAGCGTCCATCAAAATGATTTCCTTGTAACAACATTAATCGGACAAGCCATTCAAAAAACACGGACAATTTTGCTCCAAGCCCGTCCGACCGAACCCACATCATGTGCACAATAAACGCGCGAAGCATTGTCGCCATTTTGAAAAAGTACGCGCCAAATCGTATTACCAGAAATCAAAATACAATAAATACAATTTCGTATTTCGTCTGTTTATCGCACTTTTCTTTTGTTTTAGTTTGTTACGTCTAAAAAATAAAGTATTTAAAATATTACTAATCTAAGATTTTCCGCTGACCTAGAATGTTATGCAATACATCTTAACTATTCGCATCTTTGAGGCACCCATTCGTATTTCCGAAAATTATTCTGACGTAAAATGCGAATGCAAAAATATTAACCAGTAAGATCAACATTACTTAGAAGTGACGATATGAACTTGCTTTAGTATTGACATTAAGACAATGAAGAGAAATTTCTTCGAAATATCTTTTCAATACTCTAGCCACTTCTGTATCATCAAATAGTACTGAATCTGCGTTCAACCTAAGTGCACGTCATGGTCCGATTAATGAAATACTTAAAATTAATGTTCCACGTCAGTATTTTGGTCCTAATTAATAACTTTATTAAGAATCAAAAACAGACAAAGATAGAGAAAAGAATCGAACGATATATACCGGATATGAAGCATATACTGATGTGGACAAGACTTCCTAATGTTGAAGAAGAGGGCCAACAGTATTTCATAACTCATAAATGTGAGCATATAAATTGTTACTTTACGTCAAATCGGAGCTTGCTTATGGACTTGAGGTACTTCGACGCTATTGTCTTCAATGTCCAGGATGTCAGCAGCCAATCTAGTGATTTGCCTAAAGTAAGAAGCATAGTTCAGAAGTACATCTTTGCTGCGAATGATTCTGCTGACAATTATCCTGTTTGCAGTCCTGTTTATGAGCGTTTCTTCAACTGGACCTGGACTTATAGGTGAGATATTCTTATAACTTGTTATCTCATGTGTTTTCAATTAGGTATATTTTTTATAATGATTATTGTTCCATTACTAGTGCTGTACAATAAATTACTCATTCAAATGTTGAGTTAAATAACACTTTCGTGAGAATTATTATGTTTAACGGTTTACTCATATAACTGTATGGCAACTGCGCGAATGCTGCATGACTATGAGCTCCTAACATGACTTGAAACTTGTTGAGTTCCTCGTAAAACTGTAACATGATCCTAGTGCCACCGTTGTCTTTGGGCGGTGCAGATCACTAACCATTAGGTGATCCGTCTGCGAGTTTCCCTCCTATTCCATAAAACAAAACAAAAATGAAAGTAAACATTCAAACATAACACTCCAGTGGCGTGTAATGTAGGTAACCACTTTCAGCAGAGCAATGCTTAGCCTAGCTTAATTAAGAAAGTGTATTAATATTTATTCTTTACAGGCTAGACTCCTCTATACCATACAAATTCATCAGCGTCTATAACATCCACGATGAGGAACTTGGCAACAACATTCTTTGGGAAAATTTCGTAATGAAACCAGTTAGCAAACTGTTCATAAGTTCTTTGAGCTCAAAATCTGCAGCTGCTGCAATATACCTTGACAAATGTACCACAATAAGTAGAAGAGAAATATTTCTCAATAATTTGAAAATATTTCTTGAACCTTATAACCTCACTGTTGACGTATTTGGCCCTTGTGGTAACAAGAAGTGTGGAAGGACCTCATTGAGGTCTTGCTACTATAGAATCAGAACGACCTATTATTTCTACCTGGCTTTTGAAGACTCCATAGCAACTGATTATATAACAAAATCTGTTCTTTTTGGGTATAACAATCTTGCAGTGCCCGTTGTGTTGGGAGGAGCTGAATATAGCAGGTAATTTGTTAAAAAATTGGTTTAAGGTTTAAAATAAAATTACATAACGTGTCAAAAATTATTAGTTTCAGGTAAGTTTAAATTGAAAGCAAAATACTTACCGCCGACTTACCCCAAAGAACCAATCCTTCCATCATCCCCAAATACCCGACGAGGCCCAATAGGGCCGACGGTCAGGCGGGGTCACGGGACAAGCGAAATGAATTACTACTAGTGGGCCTGGAGCAAAAGAAAGAACAGGGTGGTTTTAAGTCAGAAAGAGTCTGACACTCCCGCTCGCCTTACCCTGGGCGAGAGCATTCACTTTAATTTTTCGCCGTCAAATCCCCAGATCCCCTAAAGTCACAAAAGACCGGCGGCACTCTGTCTCACACCTTTAGTGTAGCTGGTTTCCATGAGCGACGCCTATCGTGAACACTTTTAGCTGTAGAACATACCTTGTCGCATTTGCAACGCACTATAAGAGACATCCTACAATGTCAAGAAGTAAAAAATGCGGGTAAAAAAAGGGAACGAAACTTATACAAACCTTTCTTGCGCAGGTATCTGCCGCCATACTCCTATTTAGACGGAGTAAAATTAGGAGAGCGTCTCACAGCGAAACTAATGTACGAAGCGATACAAAATAAGACAAAATACTATGAATTCTTCAACTGGAGAAACCACTATACCATTAAGGAATCCAACGTCCTTGACGCGTGCAGCCTTTGCCAGCTCCTTAATAGTGAAGGCTGGTTGAAGACCAGAGAAACTTATACAACGTTCAGAAATTGGTGGAATTCAAACTACATGGAGCGTTGTAAAGCTGAGAAGAGACTTAATATGTTTTAAAGTCATCTCATCTTCAATGTTTTGAACTGCTTGGATAAAACTGGTTAAGAAGAATGGTGAACTGATTATATTTTGATTAATCTATGGTTGGGAATTATGTTATCAGATCTATTGAATTGGGGTTATACTTTTGCATTCCTATTGAATATCCTAGTCCACTATAGTTCGAAACTTTCTGCCTCGCACAATAAAACTTTAGAATAATCTTTCGTCGGCAGCACGGGCCTGTGACTCCTCTGGTGTTCGCTGCGCGGCAGCACTGATCACTTTTCATCACGTAATCCTTTTACATAAAAGCAAGTCAAGATCAATTCTTGTGGAATTATTACTTCACTAAGTCATAAATACCTAATAGACTACAATTGGGTTATCAAATGCACGTGTGCTCATAGAACTCCAAACCTACGTAAATCAAAGTCAAAATAACAATAAAATGAAACTCGCAAATAACAACCATTAAAACGTTATTGACAAAAACGAAGCACCTACATACAACACAACGACATTCAAAATTAACTGTTTTTTATAACAGCAACGAAATTATCACCAATAATAACGAGCAACGTCGAAAGCCGACCAACCAAATTCACATACACAAACCAGGATTAAAGAGTTTAAATTATTTTAAGAGATTAAAACGCATGATAAAACTGTGTATCCGATGTCGACACTCCCGGTCCAATGTTAATTTAACTTTAAATCCTGTTTTTAAGCAGATTGCTCGGGCACCCATATTGTATTTATTGTTCTTAACACATTAAATAGGATCAGAATTTTGTCCGTAAATTGTGTTTCGGACCTCTGTGTGTGTTTGTTTTAATGGAATAATAAATTGTTAGTTTGTTGATTGGAGTTTCATTTTTGTGTGGATAATAATATACTTATATGAATCATTTATTTATTTAATATCTTTATGCACAAAACAAATGTACAAAGGTGGGCTTAATGCCATGGGCATTCTCTGACAGCCAAAACCTTTGGATGATGCAGACAAGCATAATCAGAGACGTTATAAATACATATTATACTGTAAATATATGTAATTATATATGTGTAATCATCTTCAGCCTGAATTTAATATAGTAAGTTGATGTTGATTGTTTCTTGCTTATGCTTTCTTACATGCCTTTACTTTTTCCATAATCTTATAGAGTTATTCATAGCTATACTTGCGTATTATTTCATAACATCGTCTAATAGCTTCTCTAGCTGCCTCCCACCCTCCCTCCTAAGTGGGACAAGAAGGAGTTTCAGATTATTACTGACTTAAAACCTCCTACTAAGTTCTCCTGCTCAGTGCTAGGCCAAAGAAAAGGTACTGAGATCTTACGCGCTTTGCTTGCAACCTTGGCTGCATATTTTAAATATTACCTTTGCAACAATAATCATATCAAGAGATATATAAAAAAGAAGCAAATTCCTATCTCAACGTAACTACAAACCTATTAGTTTAATCACAACCGTGCTGGTGTGTTTAATACCAACCCCAAAAGAACTAAAAGAAATAAAGGAACAAAACAGAAACCTTTTCTTTACCACATCCAACTTCAAGAAGAAAACTCTTTACAAAGTGATTTCCACTATAAAATAACTTCGACAGAGTAGAAACACACCTGTAAATAACTAACAAGCGTCTAAAGCCGGCCACAGACTTTATATTAAGTCTATAAGTCAAGAAAGTTGCCAGTTCAGTTGAGCCACCCATTGCTAAGCTCCTGGTAGAATAACGCCACATTTTTAATGAACCTTCCAACTCTTCGGCGCTAAGAAATTGGTTGCTGAACGCTTTCGAAGATAGGTTGTACAAGTTTTCTTTTTAAGTTTTGGTTAAATATGTAATGGTTTTAGGGTACGATTTATTCGAGTTAGTTAATTTATTTTTCACTAGCGACCCGCTGCGCTTAGCTGCAATGGCTGCAATGTTGATACTAAATTTCTCCACAATTTAATGGACGTTATAATACGTATTAAACTACATCTTCAATCTGTTGCGTGGTTTTAAAGATTTAAGCTTGCATAGGGATATAGGGTTTTCCTTCGCGATTTGATTGTAATGTCTAAATATTTAGAAAGCATAGAATACATATATAACTATGTAAAAGTCACATTGGTACTTGCCAGGTAAGTACCATGCGTGAGCCTATTTCTCATGCTTACCCTCCGGGCCACCATCACAGTTAACCAAGAAGAATTTATTGATCCGGTCCACACTCGAGCTCTTTACTCTGACAGGATAGTCTCCTTACATATAGATATACATCCAGGAAGCAGAGCACTGGCTCTGCCTATCCAATAAGACTCACATTATTAATTCCCGCACATCCAAAACACGTAATTACTATGCTAAACGGCTCTTCGGTCTCGGAACAGTTTTTGTCCCCAACAATCTACATTTCTAATCGCTGCATACTGAGCTAATAAATTCCACGATAGAATTTATATAAAGGCAGTTAAGATGTGCTGAGATTAAGATTACGCTGCTTTTGTTTTAATACGATTTGTTTTTAAATTTTGATTGTTTTTTGTTATAATAAAAGTCGTTAAACGAGCAAAACATCAACAGAGTTAGAAGTGCTTTGCCAGCGTTTTATGGGTTTCTAAGGTTTTAAGGATTGGGCAAAAGAGGGAAACATTGGGCAAAGGAGGAAAGGATTGTGCCTCCGGTAACATGACTCACATGGCGAAGGCTATGAGGCCGCGGTACTCCATACTCTGCCCCAGCCGGCCCATTAAGTACGGCCCATATACTTAAGTAGATTGATGAAAAAACATAGCGTACTTGAGGTGACAAAGAAACTCATTGGGATAACCGCACGCAAATTAGGAATAGCTGTAACCTAACTGAGCACAAGGTTTTTTAAAGTATTTCATTCTCTAAGCAGTCGTAATAAGGTTTGTCTTTCAATATTTGGTGTTTAGTGACTCACTTGTAAGATCAAAGCCCTGAAACAAAGAAACATCGCAATTTTTTTAATCAGCTGACATCATCCATTGTCTTGGTTCATTTGGTAGCAAGAGAAGCATGAATAAACGCAGTTTCAAATTCAAGCTATGGGTTTCACATGAAAAGGGCCTACCAAAGAACTAGCTGGGTGATTCTCCAAAAAACCTTAACTTTTATTTAACAAGTCATTATCCTCCCAGGTTTTTAAGCATCTTAGTAATTTATTTTATACAATATTTTTAATCGGTTGCTTGTAAGCAGTGGTGAGATTTAATTTAATAAAATAATTATCTGTGTTTTAATCAGCAGACTCGTTAATTTTCGGTTGAGGATAATGACAATATTAAATTTTTCTTAATTGATGTGAAGAATCACCCAGCTACTTATATTTGTTTTTAAAACACTACTACTACCACTTGACTACCATCCTCACCCTCTCTACCCTACCTTTCTTACCCAAACATCTCTACCTTACCCTACCTACCCTACCTTCCCTACCTACCTTATCTACCCTTACTATACTACCTACCCTACCCTACCTTACCTACTCTACTCTATCCTATTATCTTCTTTTTATGGTTCTAAACTACATCCCAACGAATTTTCAATGAAATCGATTCAACCGTTCTTCAATTATAAATAGTGTTACTAACATATTCGATATCGATTTACTTTTATTTAGCTAACTTCTCACTAATATTATAAATGCGAAAGTTACAATGTTTGGATGTTTGTTACTCAATTACGCCAAAACAACTGGACGCATCCGGATGAAATTTGGCACAGGCATAGGATACAATTCGGAATAGGACGTAGGCTACTTTTTATCAACATAGTACGCGAGCGAAGCCACAGGCAGAAGCTAGTATACACATAGATATTAAAAGCTAATCTATCATCTAAACCCGCCACTTATGGTCTTATGCATCCACAATGCAATAGCAAAGCTATTTAACTTGCTAACAAATGCACTAAACTCTCCAGTTAAACCAACACTCAAACTACAAGTTAAATTCACCGCGGTAATTCAACTGAATCGGATTCAAACGAGCGACGATCATAAGTCCATAGTTCTACACTCTATTAGTTAAATATTGTGGTTCAGAATAACTGTTTCTCACTGCAATTAGTGTTAAAGTTTTAATTAATTTATACCTAAGATAGTTTATTTGACCTTAATTCATTAAACCCTAAGCAAACGATGGCGTTCGCGGACTTATTGTTCTTCTATTGTTGTTTTTTATTTTTTATTGTTTTTTTTTTTAATTCTGACTAAACTGCAGTTAGAATTTTGATTTGTCACATTTCAGTTGTAAAGCAGGTACATCCAAGTCAATAAGATAAGTATTGTATTTTACACACAAGTTTCGAAGTCGTTTGAAACAAGTTGAGCTATCTAGCTAAATAGTTACGTAAGTAAGCCGTTAAACAATGGATGATAAACAAAATAGGAGCTATTTTTTGACGGCAAAATCATCAAATGTCTTCGAGAGGGAGTGCCAGACTCATACTGACTAAAAACCCCCGTTCCATTTCCTGCTCTAGGCCGCAGTGCCTCATTACGCTTAGCCCGCAACCCTAGCTGAACTTCAGCCCTATAGGGCCCCGTCTGTAATAGTCTATGGTTCTTTTTTGTTTTAACGAACATCTAAAAAAAACCCCATTGTAATATGTACACAACAATATTTTAAGTTTTTTATAAGCTCCCTAGGACTGTTATTTGTGAAGTTTAAAAATGTTTAAGTAGTTAAAAAAAATAAAAATATATCACTAAAATTCAAAACATTCAACGCAAATAACTGACAAACTAGTAGCTAATTAAAGTTTTAATAGCATAGACTGTGTTTAAGAACGCAAATGAAAATATCGTGTAAATGAAAATTGCAAGGGACTAACTCATTTCATTCCATCACACAAATTCTGTTAAGCCAAATGCAATTTTATGATGTCTACGCAAAAAACTTTACGATCCAACTGCTAAGTATATTTCAGAGAAAAATTAAACAGCCGTAGAGAGCCAAGAAGGCAATCTAACTTGCTCACAGACGGAACTAGCAACTAATTTACCTAGGCAAACGTAGTGCCTTGCCGTTTGCGAAGCGGATTGCTTTTTCTCAACTATTTCATTTTAAACTTGTGACAATTTACTTTCATTCCTTTATTTGCTTTATCTTAACATTATAATGGGATTGATTTAGTTTATCTTTTATGACATTTATGATTTTAACCTCCGAAATTGTACGTGTACTTCCGTTCACGTTTTGCTGTACCTATAAAAGGTAAACTTTTATGTGATAACTGTGACTTTGTTATATCCTATATAACTAGCATATTTATACATGTAGGTATATCACACATTATAATCCTACTCATAATAATGATAGTCCCGAAAGATGAATATAAATAATTTGACCAATTTCTATATTGGAAAGAATTCCAGAACCCAAAAGAGAAATTTTCGAAAAATCGAACATAAGTAACTGCTCAAGCTCAACCCTAAATTCCACTGGAACCCAGGACATTTTTTCGCCAATTGCACTTGTCTGCCTACCAACATAATATACTTAGGGTACCTACTCATTTGTTACTTTCTCACGTCCTTAAGAAGTTATTACGAACAAAACTTTAAAACGAAATTCGCTGAAAATACTAAAAGCCTTGCGACCATTACTAATTTGAAAACTTTATAAAGCAGTACGTAGGTAAGTGGTGCAACGATTACCAGGAAAGCTAATTTTCTGAATGAACTTTCCGAAGCTCTATTTTAGTGTAAACAATAAAATTCCTCTTATTAAATATTTTCACGGAACCATTCCGTAATATATACATATAAAATTCACAGAATTTTAACTCCATCCACTGTAACTAATCCTAAAATCCAGCAAACTCATAGATGGCGTAGTAGGTACACAATATCTCGCGGGTATTATTTCCATAATTGCAATATTATGTTATGTTGGTCCATAAAATTACTTTTCTGATTCTTTTATACGGTGGAAAATCATCAATAATTGTCATCTTTGAGTTGGGTGCGAGAGAGTTTCATTCTTACTGACTAAAATCGTACTAAAATCCAAACCGTTCCTTTTCCTGCAGTGCAGTAAGAGCCACTGAAAACCCGGGCGAAAATATTGTGGCGCCCACTTGAGGGAAGCAATATCAAGAGTTAGTTTTATGCTGATTGTAATTATTTCGTTAGAGTCACTCCTTGAACATAAACCTCTTAAAATCCATCTAAAAATATCTCAATAAAAATATGCATATGCATAGAGCGTAGAGCACAGTTCTGAGGGCTTTCACCAGTAGAGGCAAGAGACTCCAACTTCAGACCTTGGCGCCCTGGGCCATTGCCTCATCACGCCCCCCTCCCCCTTACGCCGGCACTGTTCTCCTGCTCGAGTTCCTTCAATTTCTCTAAATTGCGACTCTGGCAGCGCTATGAATGTATCTAATCCTACTTAGTAAATTACCGTTTTGTAAATGCAGCCGTAGTAAAGGATTTTATTAAATTTTGATTGATTCAAAACAAATGCAGCCTTTAGATCTAATAATTATTAAAAAACCCTTATCAGTTTATATACTTGTTATGTTGCTAAGATAAACCGTCGTTGATCAAATTATGAAATAACCAACCATAAGGACTTACAAAGCGAGACAAATTCAGGAGAAACGAAACGTTTTAAAAATAGTTTAGACAACGACCAAATTGACAAGTGAATGAAAACATCTGTTGAATTTCATAAAAAATAAACGAAAACATCGTAAAAAGTCGTGCAATATAATCAATATTACTATTAAAACTCTTAATACAGTACTTTCATTACAAATATTCTCGTAGACAAAGGGAAATATTGTGATTGCTTTGCGATAAAAGTTAGGTTATGTGTTGTTATGACTCAAGGTGATTGTGTTCAATGATTTGACCGTTTTCATGCTGTGCCTTTGAGTAGGTGGCCTTATATGGGAGGTAGAGATTACTGACTTTATCTCAGTCAGTTTGTATTAAGTTTTCACAATGAGCGATCGCGAAGGTCCTAGTGGTTCGGGCTCTCAAGGGTCGGACAAAGGAGAGCGGAACACACGGTCATCTGCCCAACCTATGCCCACTGGCTCAAGGTATGTAGATCCCTTATTATACTTTTAACTTTTATTGTGTGTTTATTGTTCATACAATTTATCTCTCACAACAACAAACATTTCCAATCTAAACGTTTAATCAATTTATGGGTATTTACCTACTACTGAAATAAATAAGTGAATTTTAATTACATGAAAATCTTGGCAATCTACACAGATTGCCATAGTATACAATAGAAGGGTTAATATTTTTTTATTAAAAATGTCTTCTGTGTACTACCTAGTAAATCAGATTTCAATACAATAACTAGTTTTATTTAGGTAAACTACATGACTCATAATAGAGTCATTCACAAAAATAGTGTAACTACCTAATATTAATAATCTGTGTCTATTCAAGTCTGTATTTACTTAATTCCATGGCCTCTAATCTGTTATAAAAAAAATGTCTTATTTACTTTATTAATCTAATAAGAAAAAACATATTGAAATACAAGAATTAGGGACTGTTTCATCACCTTTATAAAGTATTTTATGTGGTAGATTAATGTTTTATTTAAGATAAATTTAAGTGTTACAGTAGATAATATAGACTGAAACACTGTACTTTGTGTCAAACATTATTATGTAGAAATATTATCTTTAATTGAAATATAGAACATATCTAGTTTTTTTTATTTATAATATACCACAGACAACTTATCACTTTCTATGATTTTTTGACCAAACAAAACTCCACAGAGTATTTAATCAATAACATTTTCTCCTTAGCTACTATGCCAGTGAACCAATACAGTTTAGAGTAAGAGGGTCAACAATTACCGGTGCCTCCCCACCCAAGTTTGTGACCCTGGAAGACATCATGAAGGCAGCCCATGGTATGCAAAACATGGCTTTAGCTCATGAAATTGCTGTTGACCAGGACTTCAAGCTGGAACCTTTTGAACCACCAGACAATAGGTAATTTTTTACAATTACATTATTTATGACTTGTTCAACTTACACATAACATAACATAATATTCTAATTAGATTAAGGGTTGACTTTTCAATAGTTAGATAAATGTTACCTGGAGAATAATTATAATACTGTCACATCAGAATATTTGTATAAGACAGTAGCAGCAACAATTTTATTCCTCAGATAATATTTATCAGACTATTGAAAATTCAGCCCTGAAAAGAATTAGAATAAATTTGGTTAGTTTAAATTGTTACTGGAGTCTCTGATACAATTCACAGTAACTAATAATTTTATTAATCAACAATTTCTCAATAATGTCAGGCTGGAATTTCGCATAATAATGGCCTGGTCCACATGTAACGTGGAACTTATATTGTTTATATGTTCTTAGTTAATAGACTAAATAGTTTGATTTCAAATTATCTAAAAAAGTCTCCAATTTATTTATGTAATAAAATTGAGATACAATGTACAATGGGTAGTGTTATCGCTAAATGTGTGACTTACAGACAACCTTTATCTTAACTTATAAGTAAATCTTAACCTTAGATGACTTGATAACAACTTCCTGAATACTCTTTGTGCATGTAGTCATCAAAGACAAACGCAGATTGTTACTTCCTTATCTTCACAGATATAAAATCCTAAGCATGCCATTTAAAGTAAGAACTAAGAAAATGTAATGATAATTCAAAACACTGTTTGTACTTATTAGAAACCTCTTATTATAATGATATAAATATTTTAATCACTATAAACTCAATGGCTATTGTAATTATACTGTATTATTTATTTATCTAAACATACTTTTTAGCACACATACATAAAAAATATTTTAGGCAAAAAAGATGAATGTTATTAAAACTCATCACTGCAAAGTATAAAACAAAGTTGGTTTCTCTATCTCCATATCCCTAGGTAATGTAATGTAAGGTAATGTAATGCTAAACTCTTTAAAATTACGCAACGATTTTGATGCCCTCATTTTAAAAAGATAGAGTAATTGAAGAGGAAGTTTTATATGAATATTAAATAGTGGAGAAATTTGCGTAAATCTTAAACCCAATAAAGGTTTGTAAGATAAAAAATAAAAACTGGTCACTATACCCTATCACATCAGTTGTGCTTGTGACCATGGCAACAATAAGGCTATTATTCTATCTCTATAATTGCTAGACTTTACTGAAAAATTTGTTTGCTTATAGTCTGTTTATGCATTGTTTGTTCATTGCAGCTACCAGAAGTTAGTAAAAGAAACAATGCATAAAGCATACTTTGATATACTAAGAGAACAGCTCAACTCAGATCCGCCAGAGTACAAGCAGGCTCTTGTACTGTTAGAAGATGTTAAACAGGTGTGTTTTAAGTTTATATTCATTTGTAAACAAATCAAAATGGGTAGGACTGCATGCCACCGACAACGTGGATCTGTACACGGCGAGCAAGGGTAGCTCACCGCCCGACTAGAACAGACGGAGTGTACGGCGCATTGAACGCCCACAAAAAGGGGCCCATCAGTGGCGATGTTTAACCAAGGTTGTGAGGTTAGCGCAATAAGGTACCCCAGCCCCGGCATGAAGCAGGAGAAGGAATGGGGTGGTTTTTTGTCAGTAAGAGTCTGACACTCCCTCTCGCCTCACTGTGGGCGAGAGGGAGACAACAGATGACAATCCCCCCTCAAAAAAAGGACTGCGTTGCTCATCAGGTCCGTCTTCCACCAAGTACTCTCTTTCTCACTCAGCAGTGTGACAGAAAAAAGTAGAAGCTAACACAAAGACAAAAAAAAATGGGTACTCAAAGTACTTGACAAGTACTTTTGTGGTTTCTTCAGCACTTTGCACCATTTTATAATATTGTATTATAATAACAAAATAAAATTATTGTAATAGTTGAGTAAACAAGGGGAACAGCTTCTGCTTTGTCTAGAATTATGAGGTGTAAACTTTTTAATTATTTAATGCTCTAATGTTCAAGACTGGCACATTATTTGTTTTTGTAATTATTTTTATCTTGTAGGTATAATTTCTTCTTAGTTATCAATACCATAAGTGCATAACAAACTGTAGTAAAGGCTTCACCCTATCTCAAACAAAACTTAACCTTACACTATTATTTCTAGGGTCTTTTCTCAATTCTGCTTCCCCGTCACACTCGTATTCGTGAAATGATCGAAGAGGTGTTAGACGCTGATTTTATTCGCCAACAAGCTGAGAACAATAGCCTAGACTTCCACAAGTATGCTAGCTTTGTCATCGACCTAATGGCGAAGTTAGCGGCCCCAGCAAGAGACGAGATGATACAGAATATCACAAAACTTACTGATACTGTGAGTATTTTTTTAATGGCAACATTGATGGTCTAGGTCTGATGTTGCCATTGATAATATTATTTTTTAAATATTATTTTTTTGGTTTTCACTCTGAATACTTGTTCCGGTTATTAAATATCAAAGAATGTCTACAGATTCAACATATTTTATCAGGTCAAATTATTAAGAATAATGTACTTACTTAAAACAATCAACACTAATTGTTTCGCTGCTTACTACGAGTAGCTAGAATTTAGCTGGGATTGTGGGTCAATCGTAATAATGTACCGCGGCCCCAGCTCAGAACAGGAAAAGGAACGGGTTGGTTTTTAGTCAGTAAGAGTCTGACACTCCCTCTCGCCCCCAGGGAGAGAAGCCATTTAATAATACTCCCCTCGCAAATTAAGAGTAACTGAACAATTAATAAAACTACATATATCAGAAATTTCTTCTTCATAATTCTCTGTTTATTTTCCAGGTGGATGTTTTCCGAGCAATATTAGAGACTCTAGAAATTTTAAAACTAGACTTAGCAAATACATTGATAGCCATGATCAGACCCCATGTACAACAGGAGAGCGTTCAATATGAACGCGCCAAGTTTGATGAGATGCTCAAAGTTTCTGAAGGTAAGGTGGTACAAATGACTGCACGGTTTTTTTATTATTATTATTATATCGGCAAACGAGCAGAAGAATTACCTGATGGTAAGCATTCAGCGCCGTCCATGGACAACCGCAACGGAGGATTTACGAGCCTTTTGGGTTGGGGGATTGGAAGGATTGGACCTCCGGTAACCTCACTCACATGGCGAAACACAACGCTTTTGGCACAGTGGATAAGCAACTAGATCCACATATTGTTGTTCCGGATCTGTGTATGTGAAATTCTATGTTTGTAAACGCACCCACGACATAGGAGAAAATGTAAGCGTGGGGCAATGTTTTAATAAAACAAAAATTTCTTATGAGGAGTAGGAATGGAGTGGTTTTTAGTCACTGAGAGCCTGTCCCTCTCGCCCTCCCCGGGGGTCTAACCATGACATTCAAAGTAAGACTGTTTTAATCTTACTTCAGTGTGGGTAAGAGAAAGAGCTATACAAGTTGTCTAGCTCTGTCTCTATATATTATAAGTAAAATGGTGTAGATAGGTTACCTAAACAAAATTCGATTTTCAAAAATGACACACTGATACACACATGAACAATTCGTACGTTTAGACGTCAAAGTGAGATGCCATGATAAAATAATCGCGAGTGAAAAAGAGACAAATATGAAAAAGTGTGGCTAGTTAGCCACATTTCAATGTATCACTTGCTGAGCGCTTGTAACCTATCTACACCTTTTTACTTATAATATCATTGAATGTGAACAAAAAAACTTATGAGGAGATAGAAAGGGCATGGTTTTTAGTCAGTGAGAGCTTGTCTCTCTCTCCCTGCCCAGATCGAGAGACGCAATTTGATGAACTTAAAAAAAAACCTACGTTTTGTGCAATTAAGTGTAATTAGTGGGCCTTAAATTTTATTTTTACGGTTCTGAGTCCAGTATAAAGTCTGTGTTAACTGGGTTACACTTCTCATACTGAGTACTTGTATAGTTCCCAAGTAATAATCAAATCTAAATAGCTTATATTGCTTTTTACATCCATATGTGAACCCTCAACTTCTTAACAGATGGTCTCCAATACACAAAAGAATGGCTGAAGCGTCACATAGACCTGGAAGGTATCAGTTTACCAGTCACAGACAAGAACATCATCAGGAATGTCACAGCTCAGACACTAGCGAAGGCTTATCTAGAACTATTGGAATGGGATTCTTCTAAAAATTATCCTGAGGTAAGAAATGCAGGCAGCTGGGTAGTTTTTATATGACTCCAAAAAAGGGGAGTTTCACAGTTTCTCAATTCGACCATATTTTTTTGTGTACGTATATATGTTATCTCAGGTAGGTACTTATTTAGTTAGCAGACTTTGTGTCTGTGTAGTCATATAAAAATGTAGTTGAATTTGTGCCGACCCATTCGTGCCGAAGCTTGGCTCTCCCACACTCAAAAATTTTGATAAATTTACGACCAAAAGCATGGAAGAAATGAATTAATTTTAGGTGAAGTGTATTTACTTATCATTCATGTACGGACCTATCATCACTTAAAAACCCGTATTCTATTAACAGACAGTAACACTCGACGCGCCTCGTTTCGCTGAGCTTGGTACCCAGGTTTACCGGCTTATTTGCGTCGCGTCCATCATGCTGGCCAGCCCCGCCTGTGGCAGCGACCAGAATGCCGCCGCCGCACACAAACAGGCGCTTAAAGAGAAGATATTGATCCTCATTGATAATACTAGCAATGATATGTGAGTACACAATCTTGATATTTAAGTAGCAAAACTATGTCAGCTGGGGTTGCGGGTTCAAGCGCAAACAAGAACTGCGGCCCAGGTCGTAATAGTCTGAAACACTCTTAAAAAAAACTAGGTTTTATAGGTATACCAATTAAGTTATCTAGTAATATTAGTGAAAATTCCACATTTCATTTAACTTTGTAAATGGGAATTGCGAAATTACACTTATCATTCAATCAAGAATAAATGTACACATCGCACTTAGATACGGAAGAAAATTTTGTGGATCACACAAAGAGTAGTTCTGTGAGGAAATCAAACCGAATATTTCACGATAGATAGTTGCCCAGCCACCGCGTCAACATTAGTCGAGATCATTGTGACTAGACCAACATTGGGCATAAATCCTCATTGTCGTGATTAGTCAAGAACATATATCCAACCAAACTCCAAGAGCCGGGCTTGCTGGGCAACCGCAATAGGGCACCGCGGCATCGGCCTAGAGCAAAAGAAGGAGAAGGAACGTGGGGTTTTTAGTCAGTAAGAGTCCGACATTCCCTCCCACCCAACCCTGGCCGGGAAAAGTGATTCGACGAGTTTCCACTCACAATAAAAAAAAAACTTAACATGAGGATGGGTAATGACTAAGTTCTTATATAGTAGTCGTATTTTTTTCTGTGAGAATAGCCGGTTTACCCTCTATGTTGCAGAGAATTAAAGCAAGTCTTACCATCATTGGCTGAAGAAATAATCCTGGTGACGGAACAGCTCCTGGAGAACCTCAACCAATCACCGCTGACTGGTGAGACCAAGGAGATCATCAGGACACAGATCTTATCGCTCGGGGACCCTGAACATAGAGTCAGGGAGATTGTTCGTAAGTATGCCTATAATAACTTTGTGTGTTTCTGTATCCAATTTCAGCAAATACGTAGAAAATGCTGCAAAACTAGCCAGATGATATGGTTGATAGAGCCACTAAGCTTACTTACAGCTTTATATTAATATTATAAAGTTGCAGAATTTGTTTGTTTGAACGCGCTTATCTCGGGAACGACTGGATCAAATTGAACAATTCTTCTTGAATTTATTTGTCTATTTATCGAGGAAGGTTATAAAATATCACGCTACTATCTGTAAGGAATCAGAAGCGTGCAAGAGTAGCTAGTTCCTTTTAAAAATATTGAAGTGTATTGTCGCCATTATATATCCAAAACATATAATTATTTGTCCACAGGTCAAAGAGTCCTAGAATTCTTAAAAACCATTCTTGTCTGCGGTGGAGGGTCTCGCCAAATCCCCGTAGGGCTGTCAGCTTTAGCCAGAGAGCTGACTTCGGTATCTGGAACCTTACTGCGGTACGTGATGCACAACAAGGCAGTCTTCACTACACATTACATGGACATTGTAGCTGAAGAACTGAGTAGAAGTTAAGTTTCATTCGTATTTATATTGGGTGACTGGTATTAAGTGGCCGATGTTCAAACACTCGAATTTACTCATGATAACAAACAACTTTCCCAAAGAAACTTTTTTTTCGATAGTCATTAATTTTATTTTTTGTTATTACTTATAATAAATTTAGCGCGCCCACCGTCCATTGCCCGATCAGCTGTTAGCAACGAGGCCCCGCGCGACCTCATTTGAACTTTACACAGTAATTTTGCTATAGTAAATTTTTATATTATTATTATTATAAAAATTGATCGCAAAATGTGTTGGTAAGCGCTTAACTCAACAACGCCTGGACCAATTTTGCTAATTCTTTTTTGTTGTGTTTGTTATTGTCAGGAGAAGGTCTTATCAAAGAAAATATTAGAAAAATAGAGGGGAAGATTAGGAAAAAGCGACCCTTTGATAGCGAGATAGTTGGACCTGTACGAAGCGGGGGCGGGCCGCTAGTATTATTATAAAAATGGATCGCAAAATGTGTTGGTAAGCGTATAACTCGACAACTTCTGGACCAATTTTGCTAATTCCTTTTTTGTTGTGTTTGTTATTGTCAGATGTTCTTATCGAAGAAAATATTAGGAAAAAGTGACCCTTTGATGAAAAATGAAACTAATGAGTATAGAACAAAAGGTTCCTTAGGAAAAGTAGTTTGTTATCATAAATACAATCACGTGTTTAAATATCGATCACTAATTACCAGTCCCTCTATAAAAATAGGTTAATTTTTTTTATGATTAAATGAATTTGAACAATGTTTATGTAGGGATGGTGATTTAGTTTTATGACGTCATCTATTCTTATGAAACATTTTAGCTAAGCGCAACACTAGGGATTGATTCTACTAAACCAGTTAACGTTAAAATAAAGAGGATTTTTATTGATCCCATTCTTTGTTCTTTTTTAACCGACTTCCAAAAAGGAGGATGGTTCTCAATTCGACCGCATATAATGCTATTTTTAACAATTATTCTCGCAATGTTCTCACATATGGGTACAATAATGTCTATTAAATAATTTAACGTAAAAAAAGTAACGATGGAGTTTCTTGCTCGTTCTTCTCCGTTCGAATCTACACTTTGGATCGAGCACCTAGCTTCACTAACAAACTGACTGACAAGACTGTTGAATATTTTGATTTTTTCAAAAGTACCTTAGCTGCAATAAATGAATTTGACTTTGATAGTACCCGGGTTTTTTCCGAAGTTCATCACCATCCCTATTATTTTTATCAATAATTGATTACTTTTTTAAGTATTCTGCCGTAAAACTGCAATAGTACATAATACTTTTTTTCCATCTTTTAACATCTATAATTGTTAGGATTTAATACTTTAGACTGGCAACATATGATTGTTAGTGATATACCAATTAGATCGATGTTTGCCAACTTATTTACATTTGAATGCATTTTAACTAAACATTAACGTGCTTCCTAATATTTGTACGGGGTTTTTGTAACAATTAACAGTATTTTCTTAGAATAACAGTACCTAAACATCGAATAACCTAAGAACGGTAGTTACAATTGCCTAAAAATATTAAATATTATCAGTTTACTAAATAGTAAACAGTTCCGTGAAATCCATTCCTTAATTTTTATAATTCTAAATAATGTTCAAAAAGACAACCATTACAATATTGTTGAAAACAAATAAATATTATCCGCCTAAACAACATATTACAATAAAACATATATGTAGGTATCCCATTCATGAATCAATTTTTCAAACTTAGACTAGTCAATTGGTGCTTGACACTGTTAAAAAAATGAAATAAATTAATAAGTTTTACACATATTAACTTATATGAAGGACTATTTACATTGAATAACATTATCAATATAAAAATATAAAAAAAAATACATGTGAATAATAATTGTCTATTTAAAAATTCTTTTCATTTGCTTTTTGACTTGCGACATTAAGCATTACCTATCAGAAAGACACTGAGTACCTAGCAAAACCAATGCAGTTGTTTTGCATTTTAAAATCTCCTTGCCGTCTCAGAAATACCTGTGCCTTTACATTATTCCAATTTCTAAAACGCAGCGTAAGCAGCTGTTAATCAATTTCTCATCTGCATAGAACGTAGTTATTATATACATATGTTAATAGCAAAGTGACATATTTATCTCTTAATAAAAAAAAAAAAGTAAAAAAGGCCCAATCCTGCCTGCCCCAATCCCTAATCCCTAAAAGGTCGGCAACGCAGTCGTAACTTCTCCGTTGCGGGTGTCCATGAGCGGCGCTGATTGCTTACCATCTGGTAATCCGTCTGCTCGTTTGCCGACCTCATTCCATAAAGAAACGGTCAGAAGTTCCAACCTCAAGGTAGATAAGTCAAGGTTGCGGATCAAGCGCTATGACTATGATGTACCGCAACCTCGACCTGGAGTAGTAGAAGGAACGCGATGGTTTTTAGTCAGTAAATGTCTGGCACTCTCTTTTGCCTCATTCAGGGCGAGATGTCATTCGATAATTTTCTAAGCTCAAAAAAAAATAATTAGTTAAATGTAAATGAAAAGCTCCCATCCTTGAGGTGGACAGATGCTCTGCCTCCAATCGACCAGCAAGAAGTCATTGGAGGTAGCATATATTCAATGAACTGAAACGCCACAAAACACAATGCTAAAACCTCTTTGATTGATAAGTAGTACCAAGACTGCAGATTAATTAACTAGGACATTATTACGATTAAAAATAACACATTAAATCTCATTGACTTAGGTATATAGACTGACTTCCTGAGTACATTTCGGTCCTATGTATTTGAAATTATATGCTTTTTAATTTCTGTTTTATTGGTAGCATTTATATGGTACAAGTTTAGGTTAAAATTATTTTAAAATTGTGTTTTTTATTTATAGGTATTTATTCAAATATTCAAATTGTGCGTTTTTGCTTGAGTGAGATTTTCTCTTAGTATAATTTAACTAATATTTTTGTAGCTATTGCTTGTAAGACCTAACTTTGTTTATAAAAAAACACCATTACAACCAACCATTTTTAACTTGAACAAAATCTATGTATGATTCTATACCATTACCGCATTTCAAATATTGTTAATTTTGCATTAGGAAAGAAACAAAAATATGTCAACTTTGTGATTCCAAATATAAATAATACACTACGTTTGTTCTTCCTATTTTTATGTAATCCAGTGAATGTTGCACTAATAAAGTATTTATTAAAAAATATGATGTTTTTTTTTTTCAATATTGATCATTACCCAAAGGAGAAGGGAGTACTACACTCGGTTATGTTCCTCAGAAGCCGCCATCTTGCGCAAGCTAGAGATGTGTTGCGCAAAAAGAGATTTAAAATAAAAAGCATAAAATAAATTCTTACAATATTTATTGAAATATTCTATACAAGGGTTCGAATTGAAGCAACACATTCTACGATTGTGAACACAATTTAAGTAACAGGTGGCCTACGATAATAAATGGAGGTTTACTTGAGCATTGTACATTTTAGAGATGGAATTGAAAGGTATTTTGTGGTGGTCAATAGAAGACCGACAAAAGCTGACAAGGATGATGATGAAAAGGGTACAATCGTCTGTCGAAGTTAATAATGTTACTATGGTCTGTTTTTCAATGGTTAGATGAATGTTATCTGAGGAACAATATTGTTGCTGTCACTGTCTTATACAAACATTGTGACGCGACAGCATCACAATTATTCCTCAGACAACTTTTTATCTAACCGTTGAAAAATCAGCCCTAAGTCTCAGTACCAATCTAAAACACTTGAATAAACCTCCAAATTCCTTCGAGAACACCGTTACTATAAAAGTTGATATAATTTGTGAGTTTAGTCAGAACCGCTGTGTCGTGATGATCCACTAGATGCCGATCCACTACGGCTTCGGGAACCCTGTAGCAATTAAAAGTATAATATTAAAACATTGTTTAATAAACCCTTAGATGAAGGTAATTTATTATAAAACAAAAATAAATCTACAATAATACATCTTGTTCTAATATACAACCTACACAATAATAGTGTACAAAGGCGCAGACAGGCCTACTGATGGTAAGCGATCAGCTCCATTAATGAGCGACCTTAACACCTGAGGAGCCGTAACTGATTTGTGGGCCAGGTATTTGAGGATTGAGGCTGACCCAAAGCATGGTTCTTCAAAGAGAATGCGTAGCCGACCTATTAAAAAAGTTAAAATGTCGTGTCGTTAATTAAATGTAGCACCAAACTCACCCTTCTAGATCCGCTTCCAGATCTACTTCTTGACCTGTCAGACGCGCTTCCAGATCCGGAGTTCCTTCTAGAACTTGCACGAGAAGATGCCTTGGAGCCTGAAGCTTTTGACTTGGATGAGGCACGGGATCCTCTCGAGGATGCTCGCGAGGATCGCTTGCTTGCCCGAGATGAGGCACGTGAACTTGCCCTAGAACTTGCTCTTGAACCCTGAGAAAATTTATACAAAATAAGTTTTACAATATTTAGTAGTACGCCAGATTTCGCCTAAATGAGCCCAAAAACTACAAAGCCCACTTTTTCACAAACAAAAGTAATGCTTATTTTAGTCAAAATTTGTTAATATGCTTTGTTTATGTCCCATGACATGCATTAATACAAAACAAATCTTATTACTATAACAAACAAACAGAAAAGATTAATATTCAATACATACATTGCCACTGGCTTTAGAACTGGCCCTGGAACCCCTTCCACTTGCAGAACTGGCACGAGATCCCTTTCCACTTTTAGAGCTTGCGCGGGAAGATGCTCGCGATGATGCGCGGGATCCAGACTTTGAACGAGATCGAGAGCGGGAACGAGAACGAGATTGAACTGAACCAGATCTGAAAATGAATGAACAACATTTTTGATGCTTAATGTCGATTCCTGTTTTACGTAGATAGAGTATAGTTAAAGAGGAGCTAATAGCGTATACAACGTGAGATACAAAGTGTTTCATATATACATAGTAGATATGTTCATCAAACGGCTCACTGCGGCTTTAACAGCCAATTAAATTAAATAAAGCACAATTTGAACGCAAAACGCAAAACTACTTTTACACTATTCAATGTCTGCCACCGACGACGCCGGTGGCAAACAAAATAAAACTATAAGCGAAAAAGGGACAATAATATGTTTTGTCTTGCTTACACCTACATATATTGCATTTGCATTTTCTTACTCCAATCATCATTATTATTATTTTAATAGCTAGTCTATTCTATTCTCTGTCTACGGTGCTTAATAAGTTAATAGATTATTGACGTATGTTACACAATACAATGTTTACCTCGCAGAACCGGAACGTGCAGACCCAGAACGCGATCTGGATTTCCTGGAACCAGATCCAGAACGAGACCGACTTCTGGATTTCGATTTGGATTTGGATCTCGAGCGGGAACGATCCCGTGTTCCAGACCTTGATCTTGATTTTGAAGCTTTCGACCGATCTGATCCTTGAGGCGACTTCGAACCAGATTTTGAACGGGATCGTGACCTGAGTATGGAAGTAATGTCTTGTAGGGTCATCACAGTGGAATTTTCCCTTGTCTCATAGGTGGGTTTACAAACATACAATTTCACATACTCTTCACAAGCAGACAAAAAAACAAATTATAGATCACACACAATGTTAGTTACACTATAAACTCAATGGCTGAACCAATTTCGTTGAGAATTGGTGGGGATGTAATTGATAGAGTTGGTAGTGTAGGGTAGTGTAGTTAGTTAAATTACCAGCAGTTATGTAGACATTTGTAAATAAACTGTTTGTTTTAGCACTATTAACTTTGTAATGACAAAGTTATATCCATTCGAAACGAGTCAGCAGTCGACCACAATTGCGCCTAGTGGTAGCGATAATGCGACTTACAATGTAACACCTATACTTGTGCATACTATTAATACATACCTCTCCTTCTCTCCATTTTGTTCCTGCTTATCTTCATCGTCATCGTCATCATCCTCTTCTTCTTCTTCGTCTTCCTCCTAAAAATAAAATACAAATGTTATCGTTTAAATTGTTTCTAAATTGCTCTAGCTAAACTACAGTGCGGCCGACGTTTCTTGGCGAGTCTGAAGTTAGCCGTTTGTCTGCGCAATGGATCTTTTAGGAACAAAATGTGTACTGCGCAGCTAATCGGCTAACTTCAGACTCGCTAAGATACGTCGGCCGCACTGTAAAAGTCTGTGTTATTTTAGTCACTATCTATCTAAAATATGCAAATACATAGGTGCTCAATAATTTTGTGGATATGAGGCCTTGTTCCAATGTCTAAACAGCTGGTATTTTCCAGATAAATTTGAATATAGAACGTAATATAATAATAATAACACATAAGTTTATCGGGAACATAATAAAAAGGTGGTAATAGAGGTGCTTACACTTCATTCAGTCCATTAGTATTGACTTTAGGTATTGACAGCATTAGGGTCAGCTATCAAATTAAGGGCTAATTTTTAGATAGTCAGATGATTTGAATGGTGATTATGATGCTGTCGCTGTCACAATGGTTGTGTAAGACAGTGACAGCAACAATTTTATTCCTCAGATAACATTTATCTGACTATTGAAAAATCAGCCCTAAATTCTTTATTTCAGACCAGAGATCTATAAATGTATTTATAATTTCTTATCCTAATGTGAGGTAGAAATTAGTTTATATTTATCAATTATTGACATGGACATCAGGCCACACATATCTGCTTGCCAGTATATAGCTAGTAGAAAATTGTTCTTAAATCTTACCTGTGGTGGCTCAAGTTGTTTCTCTCGCAATCTCAGCATACGATGTTCAGCTGCGCTAAGCGGTCGATGTGTGACGACCAAGCGAGTCAGCGCTTGCGCAGCGACGCCGGCGCGTGCGCGGCGCTTGGATAGACGTACACGGGTCTCCAACTCGTTGTAGTACACACAATGGTTGCGGATAACCTGTGAAGCAAAAACATTAATTTAATTTAAAGTTTTTATACCTAAAAAATTAACATATATAGGTTATATAATATTTATAAGACTTATAACTAAAACCAACATTTGGCTATGAACTATGTCATTGTGCGTTTATATGGGACTTGTCCACTGAAACGATGGACCAACACGTCCTGTGGCCAAAAGCTCTCGTTGAATACGAGGGGTCGACATTCGCACCAAAAATACCTTGAAGTTACAATTATGGTGCGATGTATTTTTTATCATAAGGACAATATGAATGTGAGGAGACAGGTAGCCGAAAATCGATTTGTCACTACCCCAAGTCTCCAGTGTTTTAAGAGCCAAGCAAGGGACTGCAAATTTAACAGGCAGCAGCATTTTAAACCATATCCAGTCCTACTAAGCAGAAGCTTATTGGAGATCATGATTTAACAAATATTAATAAATTTACATGTCCAACAAAAGTTGGAATGACCAAATGTTGTTGTTATCAACTATTTACTAATGATATTTAAAAAATTATACAATGAAATGGGTAATACACATTTATGTATTGATAATAACACACTGAGAAAAGTCCTACTAGTTTCAAGTCACAACGCAACTTTCATTCATGAGTAGCGTGCGCGTCGGCGTCTTCGCGCAACCGTTAGGAACTAGAGCTTGTCTCAGTAAATTCTCGTGATTAAGTCTTTATTTCCTACAAATGAAATATGTCCCATTGTATTTACTATTCAAAAGGACTACATTTACAGTTAAAAGTAAAGTAAAAACAAACTTACCAAGAAATAGTTCTCCTCATAACCCTTTGAAGCTTTACTCTTGACATTCCAGTTGTATTCTCTAGCCATTTTGTACTCATATGTGTCTCCGTCCATGTAAAGCATGTTCTCAGCAATATCACGGCGACGTTTCTGTATTGTTTCCTCAGTGGGTAGACAGTAAGCCACAAACTGTTCTCCACTTTCATCCATCACACCTCTGGAATAAACATATGAAGAAATGAATTTGGAGGAAATAGTGTATATATTTAATTAATATAGTTTTTAATGGTTGTATTGCTAACAACCAAAAACATCATGTACATTTAATAAGGCTTTTATAAGTGCCCACTGCAGAGCAAAGGCCTCTTATCGAACAGAGAATGTTTTCAACCACGCTTGCTCAAGGACAATTGGTGATTTCAAACTAATAATTATAAACTACAAGGCAAGGTTTCCTCACAATGATTTTCTTTACTGTATGTCAGAGGTGTCTAAATAATCATAGAAAGTACATATTACTCTGAAAAAGTCATGTTGTTACTTGCCAGGTCTGAAACCTGCACCCTCAGCATTAAGAAGGCTTAAGATGAAACAATTATAGCTACAAAATATTAGATTGTCAACATTTAACTGACTGATTTCTATATTCTTGTGATTAAGTCTTTATTACGTTTAATAAATCTGATGTCTTCAACCTATATTTTAACAAACGCATCTACAATTGGACTACCTTATATACACACTTCTTGAACAATGCTAGTAACATAGAACTCACCGAATCATAGCCTGAGACATGGCCTCGATCTGTCCAGCAATATTCTTGTCGGCAGGTGCAGGGTCAGAATCAAATATGACTTGAGCACAAGGATACTTCCACATGTCAAAGTCAGGGAATACTTCCATAATTTCCACTGGTGTAACACCTGGTTTACTATAATGTTTTTCTATAGGCTTCTTGTTGTCCTCAAACGTCTTCTCGATGGCTTTGATTTGACTCTCTCGGTCCATGTACAGTGTCTCTTCACTGAAGATCTTCTTAACATTGTAACCGACTTTCGCTTCAACCTGTTGTGACAGAATTTGTAATGTTAGTTTCTTATTCACAATTTATCTGTTGAAACAATAATTTTATTGCTGTACTTGGACAAAGCTAGGTGGCTAAGAACTAAAATATTACAGCAAAGATGAAATAATACAACTGCAGCCCCTAGCTTTGAAGTAATACCAAGCTATTTAGTGAGAAAATAGATACCTACATCATTGTTTGACAAAAGCATGCTTTAAGAAGAAGAAACAAAAAATAACACACCTTCTCCATAGATTGAGGTTGGAATCGAGTCTGCTCAGTAGAGATGTACTCAGAGCGACGCAACCAGGATACGTTCTTCGCATGATGTCGTGACCTCTTCGAGTCTTGAGGGGTGAGGATGTCATCTTCCAATAATTTCTCGTCAGCGGGATCCAGTACAGCATTGCCGTCTCCTTGATATATGTCCCGGTTTATCAAGTCAATGTGCACACCTAAGTCGTGCTCCGTAAGTACTTCATAGCGATAATTCTTCTCCAAAGAGGTTGGATTATATTGTATGAATCTTGTCGATGGAAATGGATACGTGATAAATTTTAAGTCGAAAGGTATGTCTGGAAGCGTATTGCAGTATTTCACTCGTGTCACAAGCTCCGATCTATAAATATTAGTAAATATTCAGTAATATTAATAATTTTAGTATAAGACCTCTTTTTAAGGCTTCAATTAAAATATACTACTAACCTCCTTTCGCCTGCCCGTTGTGGACGTTTGTCTCTTTCCGGATCGTTTGTTTGAACGGTAGGTGGCATTTTTCACTATTTAATAGTTATCTTATTATTCATAACATATCTCAAGAATATTTGTTTTGCAAATATTAAACTACACTGTACATCTGCACCTTTGCACTACACAAACTAATTTATAATCCCTTACTGCCACAACTCCACAAGCAAGCAACAAACTAAAAACAACGCAACGCAACAGTTTTATTTTCCCGTGATGATGACTGTGACAGTGACGTTTACTGAATGAAGGAATGAACTAAGAAGTTGACAGGACAAAAAGTTAAAAGAAGAAAACTAGCAACATTAACAAAAAAGTTTAATTTTTATAACGTAATATTTGTTTCATTTTACAGAAGAAATAATTAAAAATCTGAAAATTGAACTAATAATCAAGAATAAAATTTAATGCCACACTCATCTGTCTTTCGCATCTTTGATTTATTTCGACGTACAAAAAAGAAGTCCGGAAACGGTAAACTTGCCAGTTTCTTTCCGAGTTTCAGTTTCATTCTTTAATTCATTCGCCGGCCGCCGTCATTTCAAGTCACTGTGGTCACTCATTCGCCGTACGTATTCCGTCGCCATCTTTCTTTTCACAACTTTTGTCGGCAGTAAGGTACGTTGAAATATTTGAATATTTCGCTAAATAAACCGTAATAGTGACAATAAAAATCTTCAAAACGCTATTCAATTTTCTTTGAAAATCTGCCAGTATTCCGTAAGTGGTAATAGTTTTCTAAATTGTGCAAGAACAAAGTCGGCCATGTGGTCGCCCCGAATGGTTTTTCAACGAACTACGCATTATGTTTTACATAGAAAATCATGTTGTATGCTTGTTAGATACGTTATTTTAGTAGATATATGCTATTTGGCGGGACAGTGTAGCGTTAAGATATAAATTGTAATAGTATTTATCGGAAGCCGGTATGGTAACCAACGTGGCGCGAACGGCATTGTGCTAACATAAAGTTCTTGTTTTAGAATTAAACATGGGTACAGTGGAACGCGCTGGTGATGACCACACTTCAGAGGTGGAGTCTGGAGAAGAGGAGGAAATCGTTGGGGGCGGCGAGCTGGCTCAGCACCTCATGAAAAGGTCAGTAAAAGCATGTATACTTAGGTTAACCCACACTGCCTCACCACTTGTCATTGTCAGGCACATGTGTTGACATAAGAATTTCTGAACTCCTTTCAACAAAGAAATTGTCATAATTTTACAGCCTTCTAATATTATATTCTAGTTGGTTTTAGAGAATTAAATTAATTACTGAAATTCACAAAAATCTTGTTTTAGCAGATACCCATGCTTACATTTTATTTTGGAATTACTTACATCTATGTCTCATCCATGCATTAATTTATCCATGTGTAGGTAGATGTAATTTAAATAATCTGAGTTTGCAATTTTGGGGTAGGTAAGTATTTATCACCATCTTTTTAAACTGAATGCACATACTTATTTGATCATGCTAACACTGAATAAAAAAGAAACCATTTTAAATTTACTGTCCATAATTTGAATTCAATACCACTAAGGTTAACATTATAATGTTGTGCAATTTATTAAACCCGCATGCTGTGGCTGGGTTTCACAATATGCTTAAAAAGGGTATTTTAACCACAGTTGAAATGTTCCTGCTGGTTTAAATGACATATTGCATGCTGAACATCCATCATGAATAGAATTATCAATCTAGGCTTTCTGTGGCCGGGAGCTGTAAAAGGAACCTGGTGGTTTATAGTCAGCAATATTATTTCACTCCCTCATCCCTTATACTAGGCATGAGGAGTTGTGTAATGATTTTCCCCCTTGTATACAGATATTCAAAGCTTACACAAGAAACAAAATTAATGTTTTTAATTGTTGGTATTTATAAAAATTTGAGGCAAGCAACACAAAAGGAGTAACAAGTGCATTGCCAACCTTTTTAGAAAAATATGATTCTAGGTTAATACACTTAGGATTTTAAAAATATTTAAGTTCTGTTAAGAATCACAATTGGTATGCCTCCAGAACATATTCCTGTCCCTATAGTAGTAAATTTCCTATTAAAATGATTACATCATATTGCTCACATAAAGCTTCTAAATTCCATTGAGATGATTCACTTCCTGGATAGAGCTCATTATTAAATGTTTCAACAGTCCATTGGCCAGCTCATTTTGAACATCCATGATAATTTAGTTTTCATTTAAATAGGGGAATATGTTTTTTTATTGTTTAAAAGTCAAAGTCAAAATCATTTATTCCAACTAAACCATAAATAGGTACTTTTGAAACATCAAAATAGAGAAGTAGTCTGCCAGTCTGTTCGTCAGTGAAGCTAGGTGCTCATACCAAATTGTAGATTAGTATTTATTATTTATGATATGATTTAGTATTTAAAGTGATTAAATTCAGCAACTGATGGTCAATAGATGCAGTTTTATTGTAAATCTACTGACATATCTGCTTACTTGATATTGTAATAAAAAAAGCTCAATGATAAGGAACTCGAAACTACTCTTTTGTAACTTCTGTCCTCCCAAATACACCTAACACCTAACAGGCGAAACTGAATTGAGCTCAGTTTTTAAATATATGCCATTATTATTTAACGCCTGTGGAACTTGTGAACGGAGCTTATATTCGACTAATATCGGTTTTTTACTCAGTGAATCTCCGCCACACGATTTTTTAATCGTCTTTTCGTATTTCATTAACATTAAAAGCATAGAAAACTTCTTTCTTCGGTGACGGAGGCCTTCAAGAATTATATCTAGACAAGACAAGAATCTGCTGCATAAGAGCATGTACAAAAACGCGCGATTCCACAAGATGAAGATTACGGGTCAATGAACGAATGAGTCATTTTACGCTCTACTTAATCAATAAACGTATCTAGCTGACGGAATTTATAAGCACTACTGCAACGTTTAGCCAACCATGAATATTAGTGTAAATGCAATTTATGAACGTAATAAGTCCCGCTAATTACTTCTACGTATTCCTACACTCAGAAGTGATATGGAATTTTTCAAATGCATCCATATTTCACACACTACGTAGATTTGAGTAAACAAGATCGTTGTCAAAATATTGTCTGCATGCGCAACCAAAGAGGACGGCATTCGAATTGTTTTTTTTTTGTTTTCTTATGCATTTAAACACCAAGGAGGTTAGGACTTCTGTCTGTCTGTGATATTGAGAGAGAATTTAAAATCAATTTTGATAGCATAGATATGTCCTACGTGAGTAAATAAGATTATTTTGTGTAACTATAGATAAAATAGATTCAGAAATGAATTCATTTTTACCCGACTGCCAAAGAAGGAGGGTAATGTTTTTCGAGTGTATGTAAGTATGTATGTATGTCTGTTCCTTTGTGACCTCCTGTAGCCTAAACGGCTTGATGGATTTTGATGTATGAGGTATCGTTAGATTTGTCTTGATTACGGGAGTGTCATAGGATACATTTTATCCTAAAAGTCCCACGGCATAAAGACATAATAATATTTTTTCTAAATTTCCCTTTAAAAAAATATGTATGCGGTATCATTAGATTCATTTCAATCACGGGAGTAATTAATATAGGATACGTTTTTTCTCAAAATTCCCACGGGAACATGTTAATTCTGCGTCAACGCAAAGCAACTCATGCGTTAGCAAGCAAAAAGATAGGGCGTGGCCTTGCATGCGGCGCGCGGCGCGGTGCGGAGGGGGATATGCTCGAGTATACAGCCCGAATGCGGGCACACGCTTAAGGGCACACGTCGTTGACGGTCGTCTCTAAATAGCGATTTTTTCGATACTTCATCTACAACATTTTCGTTAAATAAAAACAGCTAAAAAGTTATAAATAAAAAAATTATTATTAAAAAAACAAAATACCCGACTGCACACTAAAAAAAGAGTAAAACAAGCCCCACAATACAAATTTACTGAATATAATTTATAAATGTTGATGGAAAGCATCGCAGGCGGGGACCACCTTGACCGCCACCAACGAAAATTCTGCTAAATGGTGCACAACAGAAATGACTATAAATAAGCCTCTGTTGGTCCCCGCCTGCGATGCTTTCCATCAACATTTATAAATTATATTCAGTAAATTTGTATTGTGGGGCTTGTTTTACTCTTTTTTTAGTGTGCAGTCGGGTATTTTGTTTTTTTAATAATAATTTTTTAAAAAAAAGTTACTAAAAGCGTACCGTGTGATTCATCGGTGGCACTAAGTCTAGGTACTTTGAAATAAAAAAGCTATTGCTGTCGGTCGCATATTAAAAAAATCGATTAGCCTTCCTTTTATAAAATAAGAATTGATAGTGTCTGTACGTACCGGCACTCGTAAAAAGTCTATTGTTACAGGCGATTCTAATTCGTATTGTGCGAATAATTTCTTGGCCTTAGTAAAGTTATTAGGCTGCCAACTACGAACCCTTCTGTATTCATCGTTTTCCATTAACGGAGCTAATTGTCAAGGGTAAATTACTGTGTTAGTTCATTTATAGGTCGTACATGGTATTAGTTTGGCATAGCGGTGAATCCTCTTAAATGCCAAGCAATCGTCATAGGCAGCCCTCGTACTTTGAGCGGAATGGACCCAAATTTACCGAATATTGTCTTTGACAGTGCCACAATCCCACTTAGTAGTGAAGTTAAGGATCTGGGCCTGTACATTGACAGTCATTTGAAGTGGCATACTCATGTCGCTAGTGTATGTAAAAGGGTCACCGGATCCCTGCGGACACTGTATCGCCTGAAGAATTTGCTTCCGTCTGCTACGAAAGCAATGCTGGTGCAGGCCTTGGTTTTTCCTATTATAGATTATGCTGATGTTTGTTACTACGACCTGAATGCTGATCTACTCAATAAACTCGACCGACTTCTTAACAACTGCATTCGATTCGTTTTCAACCTGCGTAAATATGATCATGTTTCTGCACATCGGTTGCAATTGAAGTGGTTGCCCATACGCCAGCGCAGGGAGCAAAGGGCGCTAACCACTCTGTTCTCTTTCCTCAACTCACCTTGTTCGCCTAGCTATCTATCCTCTTACTTTCAATACTTGTGCGCAAACCACAGCAAAAATCTTCGTTCTTCCCATAACCCTCTTCTCCAATGTCCCACTCACCGCACTGATTTCCTCCACTCCTCCTTTTTTGTCCAGTCTGTCTTGCTGTGGAATGCGCTCCCCCCGGATGTCAGGATGGTGTCTAGTCGCTTGACTTTTAAACAAAAGGTTCGTGAGCTTTTATTGAAAGGTTTGGCTAGATCGTGACCACCATACATTATTATTAATAAGTATTAGTATATGTATGTATATAGTATATGTATGTATGTAGTATACTTATGTATGTATATAGTATATATATGTAGCAGTTATTTATTATTATATAATATAATTTGAGTATGAATGTAGGTATATATTAGGGATATAGTAACTTGTACGTTAATAATACGCACATATATCTATCTCCTATGTCTTATCAGATTTAAAGTTACCGTTTGCTTGCTTCTTGCACCGACCATTGGCTCATCTCTGCATCACCCAAGGTTTGACTGGTAGAAAATGCCTTAGGCATTAAGTCCGCCTATGTACCCATTGTGCATGAAGTTTAAATAAATAAATAAATAGTCGAATTAGATCGCCTAAACATAATACGAGCCGACATTGCGCCTCTGATAGAACCATACATACATGTGGCCTAAACAAAGTCAAATAGTGAGATCGAAGTCTACGATGACGACGATCTCACCTAGAATTAGACACAGCGTTGCCGAAATAAAGCGTGGTATTATTGATATTGACCATGGTTAAACTTAGTCCAAAAATGTCTCGTCCTTTAAAAGGACTTATAACTTGCAAAATGTATCCTTGACTTCACTTTTGAACTGACAACGGAAGTTCGACTCATCTTAAACTCGAACCGTAATCGTGTACGCAGGAAGCCAACTCGAGATTGTATATACCTACTGCGTCATGAATATGCAAAAAACTGGTTCTTCCCTGCTCCCCGGTCTTTCGCGTTGCAATAAAAAGGTTATAAGAAAGAACAGTGTTTATTTAACCCTGTATTTCGAACTTGTTTCGTAAACTTGGAATGGGACAGTAGACTAACGCTTCGCTCATTTATCGCTAATACTTCAACAGAAACAAACCTAATCCTAACAATGAGTAAATATTCGAAAATTTGGCAATAATAACTAGTAGACGTAATACAAAGATTGATCCCAATCTTCGGTTACGCTCCAATCATACATTTAATTAACAATCTGTTAATATTTTCTCCGTTTACACGAAGTAGCCGCCTCACGAACTTATTCCACGAGATAATATCTATTGGTAACGCCAAATACTTTGGTTTTTATGCCGACAAAAAGTGCAATCAGGTCGTAGAAAAAACGTCGGCATATGTATTGTACATGGTTGCCGTAGCGAAAGTCGGTGTGCGCATATCAAAGCTCCAATAAAAACTTCATTCCTCGCGGGCGTATTGGTTACCGATGTAATTCTGTTGAAGAATGTTGGAAATATTGATCTATGGTAGTTCTTTTTCTTCAACATCGTTACCTCCTAAAGATTTGTTAATTAGGAAAGTTTTATATCTTGCATTTCTTTTCCTAACATTTCATATGTACTCGATTACCCTAGAAATACATAGTTAAATACGATCACGCATCGGCGTAATGCTCAAACTACTAGTTTAATTGGTTCTTCGTAACAATTAAAACAATATTTGCAACACGGATGCCTCGACGTTATTAGGTCATGATGCCCAAACGTTTACTTTTCTCACACTTAATTAACAAACTATAAAAAAGTTTAAGCTATCATCTCGGATCGTAAAGGCTTGTTTACTGTCTTGTTTGATGTTCCAGGTTTTTTTTTGTAAACAATTATCATTTACCTACCTATATAACAAGATTTTAAAGTGATCCAAAATATTGTACCTAGTTTGATAGAACTACCACCTGTTTGGAACATAGTAATACACCTATGTTTACAAGGCCTGTTTATTTCGTTGCACAACGTGGCTATTTTCGAGTAATCGGGGCGATACTGTAAATCAACGCGTTACGTTGGGATGAAGGAGTCTGGTGTTTTTATGTCGTGAAAATGTAAATCAGGTTGTGACGTACGTAAGCCAATACCGTGGTACTTGGCTGGTATTACGACGATACAATATTTTGAGAATTATTCGAACAGTGGCTTATTTAACACCTTGTAATTTAATACGTAGGTACGCGTATATTTTTTGTACCAGATTTTATATTAAATCAGTTATTTTGTCCTTCTTGTAATGAGTCTTTCATGTCTATGTACTATTCGATTCTCCGAAACAACTAACTCAAGGATTCCTATGTTTATTGGAATGTGTTGTAACTATTTTATCAAGTTTATTATGCCATAGCTTCTCAGAATAACTGGTAACCTCGGAATAATGCTATAAATTTGTCATTGGTAAATGCAAATTGTTATTCGAATGAAATAATTAAGGTCTCAAATAGTGTAGTAAGAACAGGAAAAGAGGACATAACATATTATAATCACAGATAATTCCTAACTGTTGCAAAGCAGAGCACGTTATCGCGTAATTATATAACTAGGGCAGAGTATATAGTTAAACAAGATCAGGACAAGCACCTATATTGTCTATGATTAAAAAATACTACCCAGGTTCCTAACTCAAGTGGTAGGTCTATTCAGTGGTCATTTAGCTGAAGATGATGATTAAAGTTTATTGATTTTATTATATTTGTCAACAGCGGCATTACCCGCAACGAGATGCTAGCGGCTATCACCAACCGCATCCACGTTGAGGCTATGGCATCTCTGCCACCGAACGTGCGCCGGCGCATCCGTGCCCTGCGCACTCTGCAGAAAGAGTTTGTCGACATCGAGGCTAAGTTCTACAGCGAAGTTCATGCTCTTGAGTGCAAATACGAGAAATTGTACAAGCCTCTGTTTGAAAAGGTATGTCGTGAGAGAATATGAATAAGATTTTAAGAGATTTTCTGGGTACCCAAAAGCGACGACTAATCATACGCACATTAGACAAAAGTATTAACGAGTAGTCGAGTACATTCTAATCACAGAATAATCCTTTACCACGTTACACGTTACTAAAAATGTTACGCCCATTGACAATTTTTTATTTTTTTATAGCGTGCTTTGGTTGTGAACGGTGGCTACGAACCCACTGATGAGGAGTGTCTGAACCCCTGGCGCGATGAGAACGAAGAGGAAGAACTCGCGCGCGCCGTGCAGAGCGCTGCCATCACCGACGGTTCTGAAGAAAAGAAACCTGAAGAGAAGCCTGCCGAGTTAGTATTGCACACAATAATGCGTGAACCTTTCCTTAGCTTTTGACTAAATACGGAAAAAACTTATATGATGACATTCAACACCATTTACTGAACAATCATGATAAGATTTGTTTAACATGCATCACCAACTGAGGCTTAATTCCTATATTTATTCATACATACAGTCTTTATGAGGTTTTAAACACAGGGTATATATTTCAGGCCACCTATGGATCCTAATGTTAAGGGAATCCCCGACTTCTGGTACACCATATTCAAGAATGTTTCAATGCTCTGTGAAATGATGCAGGAACATGACGAGCCTATCCTCAAGTGTTTGGAGGACATTAAAGGTAAATAAAACATGTAACATCAAATTGACTGACTATTCTTATAGAAGTTATGATATTTAGAAATATTTAATGATGACATTCAACACCAATCACAGAATAAATCATGATTGATTTGTTTAACATGCATCACCAACTGAGGAATCCTTTAAAATGACACAAACCACCAAGGTTTTTCCGCTCGTCCTTACAAAGTATCATTTTTCAGTGCAAATGCATGAGGATCCCATCGGCTTTACGCTGGAATTCCACTTCGCGCCCAATGACTACTTCACAAACACCGTCCTGACAAAGGAGTATTCAATGAAGTGCAAGCCTGATGAAGAGAACCCTCTGGAGTTCGAAGGGCCCGAGATCTACTCGTGCAAGGTATGTTTGCCTTATAAAAAACTTTATTTTTTTTCATTTTAGCATTTCGCTATATTATATTAACTCTTTTATTGTATTTCATAACCAGGGTTGTGAAATCAACTGGAAGAAGGGTAAGAACGTAACGGTTAAGACGATAAAGAAGAAGCAGAAGCACAAGTCTCGTGGCTCCGTGCGCACCGTTACCAAGTCAGTCCAGGCTGACTCATTCTTCAACTTCTTCTCGCCACCCACCATGCCTGATGACCCCAACTCCACTCTCGCCTCTGATATTCAGGTAAATACCAAGATTTGACGAGCTTTTAGTATATTGTTTCATCTGCTACTGCTCTTATTGACTGTAGAGCTGTGTTTTTTGTAGCCCACATAGCCTTTTTCAAAAAAAATACTATTCAACAGAAAAATATTATTTTTAAAGTATTCAAACTGGACATTTTAAAAGTTCTATAAATTTGATAGCATCTGTGATTTTCGTTTATGCTCACTTTTAATGTAGTAACAACCATTACAAATTCGTATCAATGTTTATTTGGAGAAAACTTCAACTACAATACCTCATCAACAATTTTCAGGCGTTGCTCACAGCCGATTTTGAGATCGGTCACTACATTCGCGAGCGTGTCGTATCCCGCGCCGTCCTGCTCTACACCGGAGAAGGTCTGGATGACGACGATGATGATGATTACGAAGAAGAGGTCAGTACATGTACTTGTAATATATATTTGTATGTCTGTCTGCTGCGGAAGTACTATGTTAGAAAGCGGATAGGGATTACATGAATTGGACTTATTTGCATGAATATAACCATTACACGACTAACAAAAAAACTTACATAATGGTCATCAATGTTTTAGGTTCTATGTGACATCGAAGAATTACAGATTCCTTTTGAAATCATGCCATTTTTAGCAATAAAATGGATTTGTTAATATAGTAATAATCCACTCTCCACTGTCACAATATTATTTTGGGAGTCTTGTAGAAAGAACACCCTTCTTTTTGCGTCGTGCTTCCAAGGCAGATTGTATATTCGATGTATTGAGAAATATGCTTTTAAAAGTAAGGCTTTAAAGTAGTCATTATTTTGTATATCATAATGAATGCTAATATTTATTTAGTTTTTCGTTATTAAGATGTTCAATCAGAAATCTGCATTTACTAATGAATATTAATAATACTCAACTAATTTGATGTTTGCTCAGTCTGTAATACAATCTAAAAGGCACTATTTATAATACGGTAGTTTTTCTGATTGAACATTCATCGCGACGATGAGCCCATTCTTATAAATTAAAGGCGCTTATCTGCATAACTTCAAGAACAGTGAATTCTACAGCCATCTAGCATTTCCACGAGGTGTTTGAATATACTTGCATGGTAGAAACTTTATTATGCTTGCCTAGCTAGTTTAGCAGTGTTTGTGCTAAACATTGAGTTTGCCTCCCCCCACTCCCCGCATATCAGACGAAGGTACAGTATGGATTGTAACCCCGCTCCCTTCGTTTAGTGTACGCCGTACGGTAATGCGTCTGCATAAATCTTCCACGGGTAACAGAGTATACAGTATCTACGTCTGGTGGGTGTTGGCTGGTGGCAGCACAAACAAAAGCGGTATATTTGGTTTCAGGAGGATTCGTACTTTGACGAAGACTCTGGGACGGAGGAAGTGTCCGACGCGGAGGATTGATGCAAGACGTTGTCCGACCGCCCCTAGCGTTAAATATATAGCGTCAGTCGGCAGCTCGCTACGTGCCCACGCCCAACTCCCCGGCGTTGGCGTGGGCATTTAGCGGCTCGTACTCACGAGCTCTGCGTGCTTTAGTCTTTATCGCGACCATATCAGCCCATATCTCTTTTAAATTGTACCAAAAATCGATTCGCCAAGCGAAACGTGATAATGAATACTCCTGCAACGCGTCGGGTTATTGTCCTATAAATCGGTAGTATTTGTACGCTAGAATATTTAATAAAGATAAACTTCTCGCAGACCCACATGTCCATTCTATGCATGGTTTATCCCTGTCCAGATAAATATGTTTTAGAGTAGATTTTTGTATAAGGCTGGCGAGGGGCTCCCGTAGTCTTGTTGCGAGAAGTGTAAGGTGCCTTCATTATCGATGTATAATGCATGATAACTTGTTAAATGTCTGTTACGACAACTATTTTGCATTTCTAGTTTAGTTATACATTACTCGTTTTTATTTATTATACAGTAATTATAGTGTGTATTTTTGTTTACGAATTTTACATATTCGTTTGAGTACTTTGAAATTTCATGTGATATTACTATTCTCTAAGGCTATATTTTAATGTTTCCTATTGATTGAAATTGAAGTACCGTCATTCCATTGAGACGCTAGTAGATCCTTCGCTCTAAGCGTATATAGGCAGTCAGCCCAGGAATTGAATTCGCTGAATCTCTTTTTAGTGCCAAAATGCATTTTTACATCATCACTTGAACATCGCCAACTGTGATCTATATCCGATATGATATGTATTTTAATGTTATAATAATGATTTGACAATAGTTAGGTCGGATAATAGATGTATATTTTTTATTTATGTAACCTTCTATTGAAGTTAGCATAATATAATGTCAATGTATAGCAGCTCGTCAGGTAGTTTTTATATATCGGTAATGGCTTATGTTTTTGGCATGATGTCGTAATGATGACATTAAAATTGTATGCTTTTTACCCGAGTGTTTTATTTATTTTATCCTTATTATTTGCATGCGAATTGTGCAAGTTTGTCGAGTGCAGATGGTTGCAGAATTCACGTTGACTGTAATGTAAGGTAACGAGGTGCTCCGAGGTTGGTGTTTTGTAATATGTGTTGACGTTGTATTGGCGTTGTCAGGAGGAGGAGGAATGCTCCACGGAAGAGAGTGAAGACGAGGATCCGGCGCCGCGGAGACGGGGCAAGAAGCCCATCAAGGGCGCGCAGGACAACCCCGCCGAGTGCAAGCCCCAATAGTGCACGGGCAGTCGGCTGCACTACTGCGCCACTCTTATCTAACTGTCGAGGTCTGTGCATACGAAATGTATGTTTGGTGCTGAATATCTACTTGTCATTCACTACATTCGACTCATAAGTTACTTAGTTCTCATAAGAACTCTGAATAAACTCGTTATAAAATTTATTTTAATTCTTTAGTTATGTAGTGAGCGGCAACGTTCTTTAATCAGTTCTAAGGTAAAATGTATTAAAATAGACCTTCATAATCAATGTTGTATACGTACTCGCAGCGTCTAGATACGATCCACAATTTCTATAAAGTCGTCAATACATAAAGGAATTTGATATACTTTGTCCTGTATTTGTGATGATGTACTGCTTTGTCTATGAAGATATACTGCCGTGAACGTAGGGGAAGAATTATTGTCACCACCGACCTCGCCATACACAAATGCACTAAATTTAATGCAGTGACTGATATGTATAGGATGCTTTTTATTAGAACGTGAAAGAGTTTTACTTAGTAACCTCGCAAGCCGTCTTTCCTCCACATTCCTGTTTCGTGTCAAAACACATCAAATCTTAAGGAATGCTGCACAAGGCGCCTTCGAAACGGTGACGAGAGCTTCATTGTTCGCTTTTATTAATTGTTGCATAATCCAGATTGCAAACTGCAAGACCTTACGATGTATTAATAGCGCTCAATCAATGTTGTCGCCCCCGCTTCGAAGCTGAGCGATTTTAATTATCCGCCTTGTTTATTATTTTTGATAAATCTAAATCGAGTGGGTGCTAACGGCACGATAACTAGGCTAATGCGACTTGTGATGTAGTTAACACAACCTGTTAACGACACTTGTTTGATGTAACGGTCTATGAGACGGTAATTAATATTAAATGTTATTTTGTATAATGCGCCATAAGTAATTACTTGAAACTTCAATGCAAATTGTTATTTTATGACCGGTAGGCGTTGTTTTAGGCGTAATTGTTATGTTGTTACTTATAACTTCATTATGATTGTAAGGCTATTTGAGGAGCAGTGATTCTTTTTTATAATGATAATATAACGTATTGCTCGCATCGCATACACCAGCTATAGGGTATTTGTACACGTAACATTTTTAAATAAATTTCGTAATTAAATGTTTGGTTGTGTTTTTTTAACTTACGTTTTCCTTCCCCATCTCCATACACAAGTACAGCCGCCCAAAATTGAATTAAATAGTCACATAACTGTTGTGTAGTAGGAAGTAAGTAAAGTAAGGTAATCTAACATTACGCTTTATCTTTCAAAAGGCAAGGTCTCTTGCTAGGCTTACGAGACTGGTGAGGATGTGAAGTTGGTTGAACGTTGAACCTCAAACATTTTGTTGAATACTGTGATTTGTGTGAATTTCTGGGTGAACAATGTACCTACTAGTAGGTAAAAGAATTGATGAAAAACAAAAATCTGGGTACGCACGAGACAGCTATTTTACGAATGGAAATAAGCATCGCAAGCAAGCAGGGAGTATGAAATCTACAGACAGCTGTCTAATTGCGCGCGAACTAGATTTGAAGTAAGTTTGTCTCACGAGCCAAATGGTAGCAGGATGTAGGTCATCCATCCGCTGCCCAGGCTCGCGCGCATTTGTGGACGCGCTGCCGCTATTAGGTATTGTTATTTGTAAAAATAATAAAGACGTTGGTGCAACTTTTGGCAGAGATGAGAGAAGCCGTTGAAGACGCTCTAAAAAATGTATGAGACGGCAGCTTTAGTAAGTTGTCCTTCGTGTTCTCGTGAGCCAATTCACCAAAGCTATAGGTACCATCCCAACTGCTGACAGCGAGAGGTTCGCCCCGCGGCACCTTCGAGCGCGGCGAGGTGCATGTTCGAGGGTTTGCCGCGCGTAATTTGTACGCAGCTTAAAAAATTCGAAGTCTAAAAATAATACCTATATATAGTGTTACGTGCCTGACGTCACGTTCCTGACTATGCGGGCTTGGTTACGGGATTGGATGAAATTAAGTTACAGCGTCCACGGAGTTAAGTTATCGGCGTTCCTCTCCAGCAGAGTCCGGCCGACTGACACAACTTTGCCGTTCACGCTGACTTAACTCACTTAACTGACTGCACTTCACTATTTCACTGCACTTCACTATTTCACTCACTTTTCTTCTTTCTCACTTCTTCCTTTTCTTCCGAATCGCTTTAGACTTAGAACTCAACTGCCAGCGGTGAGCCGCAGTTCCGCTTATATACCCCCGGTCAGGTTCTGGGACATTCAATTTCGTTATTCTTTTTGATCGTCATGCCTCCAGAACCTTCCAATAATTTCGTTATTCATTTTTATTTATTCTCCTTCTCGCTCTTTAATTTTCATTTCTTTCACACAAACAATTCCAGAAAGTTCGACAAAACTTCTATAAACTAAAAAACTTCATGTTTACGGCGGGACTCGAACTCGGGGTCTCTGTGGTGTAATCCACACGCCTTACCGATTACACCAACTCGTGTTGACAATTCACGACGAAATTTACAATCTCTAGGCAACGTTTGACAACCATCCATTGACGTCATGATGTCAAAGAGTTTGAACCACTTTTCCGTCACACTGTCACGTCACTCTTAGATTCGCTCGTCCCGAGCATCGTTGCTGCCGTAATACCTCGCCAACCTGTCTGTATGGACAACTTTCAAAGGGCTCCTTGAAGTCTTCCGAATTCTGTAAGTAATGTCATTGATCTTCGTGACTATCTTATAAGGACCTTCCCAACTCGGTTGAAGCTTCGGAGATTTTCCCTTCCTTCTGACTGGATTATGAAGCCAGACCAATGACCCCTCTTCAAACCCAACAGAATTGGCTCGTCGATCATAGCGCGTCTTTGCGCGATCACTAGCTTGAAGACCGGCCTCCCTGATCTGCTCATAAATGTCCAACATTTTTGCCCTTAACTCGTTTATGTAATCGCTAAACTCGGTGCGAGTGTCGCCAGGTGGACAGCCCGATACAAGATCTGCCGGTAATCTCAATTCCCTTCCAAAATTTGCAAATGCAGGCGTCTTTGCGGTACTTTCATGTACAGCAGTCCGATAGGCAAGCAAGAAGAGAGGTATGTAAGTGTCCCAATCTCTCTGATGGCTGTCAACCACCTTTGCTAAGTGTCGCTCCAATGTTTGGTTGAAGCGTTCGACCATTCCATCTGACTGTGGATGATAAGGGGTCGTTCGAGTCTTATGGATTCCCAAAAGTTTACAAGTTTCCTGAAAAACTTGGGATTCAAAATTCCGTCCTTGATCACTGTGCATCTCCAAGGGCACTCCGAATCGGGTGAATACCTCGTTTACCAACTTCGTGGCTACAGTTACTGCCTCTTGATTCGGTATGGCAAAGACCTCCGGCCATTTTGTAAAATAATCCATAACCACTAAAACGTAGCGATTGCCCGAATCAGTGATTGGAAATGGTCCAGCGATGTCTAAGGCTATTCTCTCCCAAGGCATACCAACATTGTAGATTTTCATCGCCCCCCTGCTCCTTGTTTGTGGACCCTTGACAGCTGCACAACTAGTGCATTTCCGGCACCAATCTTCGACGTCATATTTGCAATGCAACCAATAAAACCTCTCCTTGATCTTCACCAAAGTCCTCCTAATTCCCAAATGTCCTCCAGAAGATCCATCATGGAACGCTTTTAATACATCCCTTATTTTTGAACGAGGCACCACCAATTGCAAATGCTCGTCCTTGCCGTTTGTTGATTCCCATTTCCTGCACAGAAGTCCGTTATGCAGCGTAAGGCTTTTCCACTGTGCCCATAAACCTTTCGTTACCGCGCTATATTGGGCGACGTCACTCCAACTTGGCTTGTTACCACTTCGTAGCCACTCCAGTATTGGTTTAATATCTGCATCTCTTTCCTGTTCTAATTTCATCGCATCATCTCCCCATGCCTCGTCAACAGTATCAGTCCTTATCACCTTAAGAAAAGCAGTTTCCTTCTTGGCACAATGCTTGCAATCTTCCACGCATGGGCGTCTCGATAATGCATCTGCGTTGCCATGAATTCTTCCGCCGCGATGTTCGATTTCAAAGTCAAATTCCTGAAGTTGTTCCAACCATCTGGCTACTTGGCCTTCGGGATCCTTAAACTGAAGCAGCCATTTCAAAGCAGCGTGATCAGTTCTGATCAAAAATTTCCGTCCCAGTAAATACTTCTTGAAATGATGCAGAGTTTTGACTACGGCCAGCAATTCCCTCCTGGTCACGCAATAATTCCTCTCCGGCTTAGATAGTGACTTGCTGAAGTAAGCAATAACCTTCTCCTGCTCACCATCGCGTTGTGAAAGGACACCTCCTATTCCAATATTGCTGGCATCCGTATCAACTACGAATATTCCTTTCGCGCTGGGGTATCCGAGAATTGGTGTGTTACAAAGCCGTTCTTTTAGTTTTCGAAAGGCTTGCTCACAATCCTCGTCCCAGATAAAGGCACGTTTCTCCTCTGTCAATCGATGCAAAGGCTTGGCAATGTCCGAGAATCCTTTCACAAACCGCCGATAATACGAGCACAACCCAAGAAATGCCCGAACTTGCGTTTTGTCTTTAGGTGTTGGCCATTCCTTAACAGCGACAGTCTTGGCTGGATCAGTCTCAATTCCTCTCTCAGAAATAACATGTCCTAGATAATTCACTTCGCGCTTGAAGAAAGAGCATTTCTTTGGACTCAACTTTAAATTTGCTCCACGCAGCTTGTCGAGTACCTTTTCCAATTTTCTTAGATGATCGTCAAAATCCCGTCCAACAATGATGATGTCATCGAGGTAAACTAGGCAGGTTTCGCCCAGCAGTCCCGCCAGCACCTGTTCCATCAAACGCTCAAAGGTTGCCGGTGCATTGCATAATCCAAATGGCATCACCTTAAATTGCCAGAGTCCCTTCCCAGTTGAGAATGCGGTCTTTTCCTTGTCCTTGGGATCCAAATCCACCTGCCAATAGCCACTTTTCAGATCGATCGTTGAAAACCATTTCATGCCACTCAGTGTGTCAAGTGTGTCATCGATTCTTGGTAACGGGTAGCTATCCTTCTTGGTTACATCATTCAATCGTCGATAGTCTACGCAAAACCTCGTTGAACCATCTTTCTTCTTGACAAGCACGACAGGTGAACACCAAGGGCTAGAAGAGGGCTCTATCACGTCATTTTTCCTCATATCGTCAATCATTTGTTCAACCTCTTTCTCACGAGCGAATGGTATACGTCTGGGCCTTTGACGAATTGGCATTGTATCACCTGTGTTTATTTTATGCTTCACCAAACCAGTTCGGCCAATATCACCATCGCTTCTTGAAAACACATCAGAGAATCGAAGGAGTAAATTTCTAGCTTTCATAGTCTCCACTTTTGTCAGACTTTTGTTTTCGTCTAAGATTTTCGTTACAAAGTCTATTCCCGTACTGTCCTTCTTCACAAGATTTTCCGAGCATTTTCTTATCCAGGCCACTTCTTCCAATACGCCCACAGGCTCTCCTTCTTCAATCGTAATTTTTGAATCACTGAAGTTGAATACCGGAATGCGGTTGACATCAGATGACCCCACGACAGTTCTTGCCGGTAGCCATGAGTTTACGTGTTCCGATTTATCAATCACAGCGCACCTTCGAGGTAAACTTCCTTCCCTCCTCCTAGGTAATGCAATTGGTACGAGAGTCTGTGATTTTGGTGCAAGAACAGTTCTTCTTAAACAGCAAACTTTTCCCAGGGTTCCACCCTTCATCGGAATTTCCTCAGTTCCACATAGTAATACTCCAGATTTTAAGTCGATGTTACACTGGTGCCCTTGCAGGAAGTCAAGTCCCAGGATGCAGTCATCCAGAATTTCGGCGACAATAACCTCATGTCGATAAACACGTTCCCCAATTTTGATTGTTACATGCAGTTTTCCACTTATCGGTATGCACTGGCCGGTAGCTGATTTCATTCGTAGGCCAACAATTGGTTTAAGGTGTTTCCTGATGTTTTGCCCAAACAGCCGAACATTTATCACCGTCCTTGAAGCTCCAGTATCTAATGTTAGCTGACTGTTTTTCCCATTTACTTGACCGTCTATCACCAGTGTATTTCCATCGTTGGTTTGCTTGATGTAGATTGTTCCACTTCCA